TCTGTCAGGATTATTTGGATTGTGCGTTTATTAGGAACAGAAGTATACAGCTATTAACATTTAAAGGACGCAGTAACAGAAATCGTCAGTGGTCACATTTTCCCGTCTAGAGATAAACTGTTAGAACCACCCCTTGATAAAAGCCGAATCGAGGCCTTAAGTTAAACTGATCCGCGGGGTTAAATAAGCACGAATACCTGACTGAAAATCACTAATATGGATCACAGGTCTTTCAACATAAACTGAAAATCTTTGTTTGGATTCATGAGCACCGACAAAGCTGTTGACTTTATTTAACTTCTGAGTTTGTGTGAAATAAGGCGTTTAGATGTATAGGGTTTCTCAAGTTTGGCCCATACTTATCGTCGTCTGGCCAAGGGTGCTACGTTATCAATGAAAACCAGCACACTATTATTAATGTTAAAAAAATGACGGAACTGCATGAATAAGTGATTCCATTCAAAAAGTACACTACGACAGTGAAGTTCTACATTCGAAGTCGAATGTCTCAGAAGTCATAGTTTGCTGAGTTCGAGAAATTGCTTATATAATAATCATTTATATTTTATATGAACGGGTAAGTTTACATGAAATGCATGCCATTTTTACAGGCACGAACAGTTATGTTATAAATTACAATCATGAATTAGCTTAGATTAGCACATTTTCAAAGGTTTAAATTTCTGAATTGTACAAGCAGTCAGAACAAGTTCTGATAAATGTTAAATTGCAAGCCTTTCACTGAGGTCACCTTCAAAGCTGAGCAACAACCTAAACTTCTTTCCGTTTCCTGCTGATAGTTATGGACAACCGATAAAGAGCAAATATTTGGGTAAATGCTAAGCCACCCACGTGACTGAACGCTATTTCAGGAAGAGAAGAACGTCTTGGGAAACTGCAAAATGGTATAAAATGCAACTGTGGATACTACATCATTGGAAGTGCATTTACAAGATAAATACAAGAAGGAGCTGGAGACTCCTTGGAATTACTCTCACAGAAATCCTAAAGAAACGAATGAATCGCCAAAGCCATAAAATTTCTCTCCTTATAAACAAGGGTCAACTATACAGCAACCATGCAGACATGTGTGAACTGTTTAGTGAGACGTTTGCAGCTAACTACCTTAAGCCAATAAGCCCACTTATCGGTTCAAAATCTACAATGGAACTCCCTTCTTCTTCAGCGCTGAAAGAAATCAGTACAGTTCATTTCACTTATTCTAATATTAACCAAGCCATTAAAACTCTTAAAAGTTCTAGTAGTGCTGGTATTGACGGCATACCGTCGTATTTTTATAAACAGGGTGGTTCTGACATTTCCTTTTTAATCGTTAAGATCTTTACAATATCCCAAGAGAGGCAAACCTATCCAGATAAATGAAAAACCACATTTATAATATGCAAACACAAATGTGGATCGGAAACTGAAGTCAACAACTATAGGCCAATCAATATTACACCCATAGCAGGTAGAATTATGGAAAGAATAGTTAAAGATGATATCCTCAAACATATGCTCAGCTGCATTATTCTAAGTCCCAACCAACATGGATTCCTAAAATCTAGATCATGCATGACCTGTCACCTTGACTTCTTTAACTATATAACCAGCAACCGAGACAAACAACAACTAGTACTAGTCATCTACTTCGACATCTCCAAAGCCTTCAACCGCGTTGACCGTTTGCTCCTAATAAATAAGCTGAACTCCTTAGGATGGCTTGAATCATTCCTAAACAATAGGTCCCAAGTAGTTAGACTGGGGTCTGTAAACTCTAAACCTAGTCCAGTCACTTCTCGTGTAGTTCAAGGTAGCGTCTTAGACCCCCTTCTATTCACGCTATATGTCAACGACATATGCAGCTGTTTCTCACTTGGTAAACCATTCATCTTTGCAGATGATCTTAAAGTAGCTTACAAATTCCACTGTGATGACTTAGGGTACTTTCAGAAAGCTGTTCAGGAAGAACTAGATAGAGTAACTGCATGGTCCTCCATATGGAACCTAAAATTCAACCTTAAAAAATGTGGTTGGATCTGTTTCGGTGCACCCTCAATAAATATTAAACTGGTACTTGAATCTATTGACTTGCCTAAACCCCAAAGTTTTGTTGACCTAGGACTCAGGTACTCTAGTGACCTGACATTTTCTGAACAAGTGGCTACACAGACGCGTAAATCGAGGATGCTCTTAGGATGCACACTCAGGAATTCCCACAACTACGAAGCGAAACTTATATTATATGAAACCTGTGTCAGACCACTACTAGGATATTGTCCATTTATTCTCATAAGCACTCGGGTAAGTGACAAACTTAAAATAGAAAGTGTCCAACGATACTTCACGTCTAAACTACTAGGATTTGACTGCGTAAAGGACTACACATCAAGGTGTATAACTCTAGGTATCGAACCACTCTAGATGAGACGACTCAGCATTAACCTAACATTCTTCCTTAAAATCTTGCATAAAATATCATTCTCAGACAGTAAGGAGATACAATTCTCACTGGAAGGCTCTTACAACCTTCGTAACCAAACGTGCACAGTATCTAGGAAAAGCTGTAAGACAGCACTCCGTGCAAACTTCTTCATAGTCATGTATTCTAAGATCTGGAACAATTTACCCCTAGGAATAAGGACCTGTCACTACTATAACCTTCAAAGGCTTGCTATATAAACTGTTTCATCCCAATGACTATGCCAATCACACCGGATCACTTATTTTTAAAGCGCATGAACTATTAGAACACTATAACTCCTAGACTCATTACTAAATATTATGACACTAAAAAATACATGAAAAAACAACTAGATTATAGGTAATGTTTGCTATACAATGATATACATATATAAACATTTATATATACATAAAATATTAATGTTCTTTCTATGTTCACATACTTTCTCTTTCTGGGATTCTATTGCTGAGCCTACACTTCTACATACCTCCTGGTCGAGGTCGAACAACCCAACATTTAAACTGAAATGACCATTTGAGTAAATTCAAACTCAAATTCCATGAACGATCCGATGCTACCATTTGAAAACGCTGGCCAACATTCTGTACAAGGAGTATTCTTGATCTGAAATAAAGAAGTAACTGGTTTTCAAACAGTTTTCAATGTATTACTCAACTTACATGTACAGTCTGCCATGCTGACACAAATGGCGCCAATGGATGGTTCTAGAATCGACCTCGGCCCCATTCCATGCAGTAAAACAATCTAACATGACCTTATCTAATTTTCGTATCGACGATCAAATTTCTTTCCTATTATAAAACTGCTATTAGACTGGAATAAATACATCACTGACTCAAAATAATACATCAATAAACTTTCAGTCAAGGATGCTGTTCACAACAAAGTTATATAGAAGAATTGACTTCAAGCTTTATTTTTCCCAGATATTTGTATTACATTCATCTGATGTCTGGGTTTTTTGTTAATGCGAAGACAATATTTCTATATCTCTTTATGTGTTACACAGACAGACCACTTTGCAGACTGTTCCGACTGACTGTAATGTCAGAAAGAATAAACAAACTGTAAATTCAACATACATACATCGAAACATGTGTAATTTATATAATAACTTATCCATGCCTGTACAATTGGTATGTTCCTGCATAAACAGGAATAAATATATTATTATTATTATACAATGACTGCGGTCATCAGGCTCTCTCTTCCTTCCAAATGGAGACTAACCATGCGACAGTACAGACGTTACAGTAACCCGCATTCATCTATCATTTCAATCAGAATATTGAGGGAATAATCAAAAAAGCGCCATGTGGAGAACCCAGCTGTGCTTGACAAACCATCTCACAGCAAAATTAATGTGGGTCAGATCCGAGGTCAACAAGAAAATTCTGGACATAGCTTTAATAGATTTCAGCAAGGCTATCGATGAATGTTGTTCACAAAAGTTTTGGGTTCGAGGGGCTGATCTAAACTGGATGAAGAAATTCATAATAGGCAGGAGAAAAAGTCAGGTTCAACTCAAGACTCTCCACGTGAACAACCGTAAGTAGTGGCGTGCCACATATCAATGTATTTGACCTCTCTTATCAATTATATATGTTAATGAATAACCTAGGTCTACTGAATCTCCTACGGCCCTCTGCGCAGATGACCTCAACATTTGAAGAGGGTATAAGGGTGACAGTGGGGTGCTTACATTGGAATGAGGTTTCAGTAAACGATTAGACTGGTCCAAAGAATGCCTGCTCCATAAAGGCCGCAAATTGAGCAAACAATGAATATCAAGCACTTAAGCGTGAAGCTGATGTGGTACAAAGAGAATAATGTTACGAGGGGTTCGGACGCATTCGGATCCAAATGTCGAAGTCAAGAGCCAAAAATAATGCTACACTGCTGCGTGGTGGCAATACAATTTTGGGATGCCTGTGGGCTATATGAACGGCTTTTACTAATATCAGTGAAATATCCACCTCTTTGCATGTATCTTTTGTGATCTGCAAACTAGAAAACTCCACCTCCTAATAATATGGTAGGCAGAGATCACGATGTTCAAAATTCTAAGAAACGACTACCGAACTAGTGTGTCTTCTGTTTTACTTCCCATCGGTTCATTGCATCTTCGAAAGACGTAGCAGAACGGTTCAAAGGCCAGTAGGAGACTATATCTCTGTAGAGTAATGGTCCTGCCACCAAGTAGTGAAATCTTCGAAGTGATTCCCAGAAGTTGTGCTTGTGCAAATGTCGACTGGCAAGGTTATACAATAACGTCTCAAGGGATGCGAATGCACGAGTGACCTTTAGCCGACTAATCATAGAAATGAGGAATTTTTGAGTGAAAAATGACGTATATTTACAAGAAAATGCATGAAAACACATTAAACAGGGCACCAACCAAAAAGACTGGGTCTGAAATTGACATTGGATACTAATTCAGCTTCACTCTACATACGCACTTTCAAATATGTGTGCAACGGCGCTAAGTCGTTATGAAGTAGAATTTTTATGACCTATGTTTAAGGAGGTTAGACCGGAAGTGACTGCTTTCATTGAGCAAAGTAGAAAGCAAAGAGATGAAAGACGTGACGCAAAAGTCAAAGCTTTGTCGGCATTAGTCATCCAGGTTTGTCGGAATTTGCAGGAAATTCATTAAACTTTAGAAAAATTGGCGTAGTTTTATACAGAGGAAACATGCAATTCAAAGCTTTAGGTTTGTCTATCTGTGTTATATATGTTTTTATTTAAGGTTGGAATTTGATTCAAAATTCTCTGGAGTAACCGACACCAAAACAATACAGTTCATTCCTGGTTTGTTGTGCCTTTGTTTCCTAATATATTCTTAAGCTGTTCAGCTGTTAAGATACATTAAATGCTTACAGTTTAAATATTGTCCTAAGTCGGACTATGACGTAAGCTGGATTTGACAATCTTTAGCATTTAATTCATAACTAGCGCTTTCAGTTGCTTATCCGATATTTAGTTAATTCAGTGGAAGCTGGAGATTCAAAAGTATATTATTTTATAAAGTAGTTACACACTATTTAGACATCCTACATTTCCCTTTCACTAAGAAAACCCACCTTAGTGGAGTGGATAATTACGACAAAATGGCTGTTTTCTACGATCCTAAGACATATGAATGGCATTGATGTATGTTTCACTTGTTTTTTCATCACATGCCTTTAGCCATCTGTTCCCAGTGATTCAAGGATACTGAATGTCTTTTTGTCGTTTTTACTCATCCACACCAATTGCTCGCAATGGTCTTTAATCCAGGGTGAGTTTTCTTGTGCTACTTTCGCTTAACATGGTTCCAGCTTTTATATTCTTGTTAGGTTTTCTTTGTGTAGTTTTCCGGTTGATAAATTGCTTAGTAAGAACTGCAGATAGTTCAGTGGCAATTATTTAAACACATTTATAACTACAGTACTGAGTTTCCAACCACTGATCACTAACCTTCAATTTATTTCGTCAGGTAATGTAGGCGTGTACACAGTTTGAAGCAACATTCAGTACTGTTTTAGTAGATGTAGCCTCTTTATCTGGCTACTTCAGTGGACTCAGTTTAGTCATACACAGGCTAAGGATGCATTATCTAATCTAGTGAGCTCTTTATACTAGGCTAAAACAACAACAGCTTTATGATATGATTTACCATATTTATTGGCTGATAGTAAAGAAATCTCCGAAGGAATACGAAGGGTTTGTGCAGTATATGCGAAGTTCGTATATGTGAGACGACTGATTTTACATTAAAAATCAAGTGTATTGCATTGCAGTATGTTTTTACTATTCTGTTACTATGACCTGTATAGTATCTTTGTTTGGTGGGATTTTCATATTCACAGTGCGAAAGTTTGACGTGAAGTGTGGAATGAGATAAGGTACATTGTTAACTTACATTGACTGGGGTAACTCGAACATGTTATCCGTCTGTACTCAGTTCTGACTAAAATGTTCTATGTTAACAGAAGCGGGATTAGTTTGGAAAAAGCGAATGATGACGTATACAGACCGGGTACTATTCCATGAAGCCTGGTTGATCTGAGTTGATTAGGCTGCGTGAATGGGAACTGCAAGATGGCGGAAATCTATGATCTCACGGTCTTGTTATAATGGTGTCATATGGTTCATAGGCTTAAGCACTTGTCATTCAGCTAATGAGTGCGAGTTCGATTCCTTCCCTATATACTTCATCGTGGAGAACTGACTAGTGCTATCAGCCACAGCCTAGTTTGTGAGTAATCTTTACTTCATAACTGAGTTATAATGTTCATAACTCGTCTTTATGTTAAATTTTACACCATATCTCGCTTTTAATTTTAATTTGTCTAAATGTCACTTCATGTCTAAAGATTTTCACACAGCCCCTTCATATGCTGACACGACTGGTGTATTATTACCCACTGTGCAGTGCTTTTAAGTTTTTTTTGTAGACTCTTTCCTTCCGACCTGTTTCTTCGGCCTATTTGCTTCTGTCAACTAGTAAATACAATCAATGGGAATGGGTGTGAAAAATTTGTATTCTGTTTCACGAACCAGTGTGTTCAGCTTAGCCAGGAGGAAATTAAATTTATAGATTTTTCATATCTTACAGCAAAATATTTACATCTAAGTTATCATTTATCTTAATTTTCTTATTTACAAAGTAAAACGTACTCAAGCATTCTCAAGGAGTTATATGTTTCTATATACGGCTACATTGATTTATTCGTATTTTTTCCCTCCATTCATTTGTACCAATTGTCAAGTTCAAAATGCTCGTCATTAGTGTTTGGAATTCAATAAACGAAGTAAGATTTAAGGTAAAGATGTGATATTTGAACCTCTAAACCATTATCTACTGGATATTGTAAATTTATCGATTGCTATCGCATATATTTTTATCTTAAGTATCTCTATCACAAGTTTTCAATGTTTTGTCAGATAAATTTAGCTTAATGTAGCTATACTCCTTCATGGTGATTATCTTTTAAATTATTTATTTTCTAGATGAGAAATTAAAGCCTGCAATGAACCAGTTAGCTTCAGCTTTCCTCCAACATCTTGTTCAAAGGCGTTTATTTGAAAATTTGAATGTAATTCCCAATTGTAGTTGATAAATTGGTTTGTTTCAGACTGTTTTGCAAAAAGGTTTAGCCAGACATACTCCTTCTCTGACAAAAATCTCCTTGACAGGAATATTCACCATTGCTATGAGGTTAGTGTCGTATGCACACAAATATCTTAAATTTTTGTGAATAGTTTCTGTAATTTATTCTCGGAAGCTGAAAGCAGTTCAGCGCAGCATAGACTTACATAGACTAACTTCCGTTCTTACGTCGTCAAAACGAAGTGTTTTACATTCAGTTCTTTATAATACAACTTCAGTATGTTCATGAAAAGCTGTATTTGTGCCACGTGAACTCAACTCTCCACTTCATTAGTTCTGATTTCAAGTTTTGTTTAACAGAGTAATATTAAAATTCCTGATGTCACTATCGTTAAAGGGTTAGTAGGTGACAATCTGTAGTTGTGACGCTACTTCTGTTATTCGTTAAACTTGTTAAAAATTGCAATACAGTACAAAAACAAGTGTTACTACATAACGCTTAGTAAGAAACAAAATGTACTTGTTGAGTTCAATTCCTATCTAATACTGGTTTGATGCACTTGGTTATGGGAATGCATAGAAAACTCAGTTAGTGTCTTTGCTTTTATATTAGGTTGTTTTCATTTAAGCAACATGAAAGACCGTGTCTATCAAGCCTAGTTTATTTAGTCAATATCACTTTTGACAGAATAGCCAATATAACTGCTACGAAACGATGCAAGTTTGGACTATGTTTGATTTCTGTTCAAGTAGTCACCATTTGTAAATATCCCATTTCTACGAATGCACTGTCGCATCGTAAAGCTTAAGCGTTCGTAGAATTCTAACAGACAGTGAGTAGTTAATTTTAAAAGTGAGTATCTTGTACTTACTGTTATTGTAGTATTGGTTGTTAGAGAACATTAATAACTGTTTGTCCAGTGAATACTCATTTTTTACTCAGAGGTGAAGTATATAGAATTTGTTTCCCGTTGATTGATTATGTTGTACCGAGACTGAGTATTTTGGTGGCTATTATGGCCCTATTTACTGACTGACTGACTGACTAGTTTCAACATAGAACTTTGCACCAATGTGTAACAGTTCTAGTCGCCACACTTCACTTAGAACACAAAGCCAGAGAAGAAAGTAAAAAGAAATGCAAAATAGAGACAGTAAACAGAAATATGCGGCAAAAGGAATAGTAATATCGAAGAATAATATAGTTATAAGTCATGAGGAGTGGATGCATCTGCGCCATTGAGAACGATTTTGAGCCATATCACCGATTGTCTCAAACCATTGGTGTTTACCGTCCCGAGGACCCCAACCAGGAAGTCTACATCTTCCTACATGGCTTAAAGTAGCTGTTGGGGATTTCATTGACTGATGAAACCATGTTTTGGTTTGACCACCACTGGCTGTTTTCTAACCTGACCGTATGTCGGCTAACATTGCCCGTCGGAAAAGGCGACACCTGGGCATTCGTAATGCATGTCGTAACCATCTCAATCGGTGTAACTTCGCAGCCTCGTTGATTGATTTCCTCTCTTTACCTAGCACTCGACGCCTAACTTCAATATTTCTCACATTATTATACCAATTTACATGGGAGATAGAATGCAGGCACCTGTGTTCAAAGACAGCTAGCCTTTTCATGTTTTCCACTGTCAATAGCCAGGTCTCGCAGCCATGAAGGAGGACGAGGCGGATTGCTTAGCAGTACACACGTCCTTTTGTTGATAGCCGGATATCCCGTCTACGCCCTAGTTACCTAGTAGATAATCCTGTAGCGTTTAAAACGATCGGTACTGGGTTGGAGTCTCAGTGGGAACACTATCACACACTGAGAATGCAAATAAATCCAGATGATGAGTTCCCAAAAGGACGAAATGCATATCCTGATATAGACCGTTAAACATAGTATCCAGAAATTAATTATTTTGTTCGTTTATTCCCAAACATGCATCATGATTTTATTATCACCTTTAAATTTCTAAAATTTGGATAGAACTTTTTGTGATGTATACTGTATTCTATTATGCATACGCTAAGCAAGCAATTGTCTTTCACACATACTATTCATTATTTTTAATTTTTATCTACACTAGACCGTTGATATCTGAGAAGTTTCCTGAGAAACTAGTAATTTCATTTGCAACTAATATCTTGACTGTACCTGGATTTATATTGCATATAAATTCAATGATGAATGAAGTAAGCACAACATATTCATCACTGTGTGATTGTATATTTTTAAATTTAATTAGTTTTTGTTTTACTCATTTTTGTCCTGTTATGTCAGTAATTCTCGAAGAGTGATGAGTATTCTATGTTGGCTATTTACAAGTTGGCTCTAAAATGTGTTATCTGAACTTCTTTTTCTTTACAACTCAGTCGTTTTTGTTATTTCCGAGTGTCGGTTTGCAGGGATATGATCGGTTACAGTTGGAGAACCATTAGAAAACCAGGGAGTACTGGACAGTTTTTTGTCCTCGTTTGGGACTCTTCAGTAGTAGGCACCCACTGGGGTTCGAGCCTAGGATCTCCCGGTTACAAGTCGAGTTCACAGACCATTCAGCCACTGGGACTGGATCCATTGACCGATGAATCCCAACTTCTAACATGTATTGCCCAACCACCCTAACCACCATCTCGCCACTTCCTCTCTCTAGTCCTAGATGTAGCGAATAGTGGTGTGTGTGAACTCCTGGGATGACATTTGTAGGCCATATCCAAGCCACTGAAGTTAGTCAGTGTTTCACGAAGACCTTCAATGTGTCCAAATACACACTACTGGACCTCAAAATACTTAACACAGTGATACCATCGGACGCAAGCAATTCTACGGAGGTTTAGTAATTCGCCATAACATGTAACACAGAGGTATTTCTACATATTACATCTTTAAGGTATTACATGGTGGGTAACAGAAGCAAAAGAGAAAGACAACTCTTATTATTTATATGATAAAATTTTTACACTAAATCGAGGTACAATAAAAATCGGCATACCTTATAGTCTGAGAAGACGAAGGTGATGAAGCTAATCAACCGGCACCAATACCATCAACGGGAGAGAGTTCACAGAGGTTACCTCCTTCACTTATCTAGGAAGCATCTTTTCAACTACAGGCGGAACGGATGAAAATGTCAAAGTCAGAATCGGGAAGGCACGATATGCCTACATCAACCTGAAACCAATTTGGAAATCTTCTGAACTCTGCGTAAGGAACAAGATTCGCATTTTAAACACCAATGTCAAGTTGGCCCTTCTATACGGGTCAGAAACTTGGCCAGAGTGTCACGAAAAAGATTTCCGGCAGGCAGCTTCAGACTTTCATCAACAGCTGTCTTCATTGGTTCCATACTGAAGATCAAATGGCCAGCTGGCCAGAAGAAATTAGTAACAAGAAACTCTGGCGATGAACAAACCAACCAAGAGCCGACCGCTCAACAAATATGGAGATATGATCGGGCATACATTGAGGAAACCGTCAAATGACATCGCGCACAATGCAGGCCAGAGGACGGCAGAAAACACAACAAAGTGGAGATGTGTTGTTAAAGCCCCATGTTCCACTCGGAACCCAAGGGAATAAAAATAATGCGTATGAATGGTTAATTCTGATCTCCAGTTTTGGTTATATTTGACTAGTTCATACTTAGTATTTAGCAAAACAAACAAAACACTTTTATACCTTCTCTAGGTTTTTATCTAAATGTTTTCGATATATAATCACCAGACTTCATTCACTCTCGTCTTTATTTTTATATTGTAGGCGTATGATATTATTGTTAAAGAAAGATTGTGCTCCAGAATTATACTTACTTTGTATGCCAGTTCAGAAGAGTTTGATAACCTACTATCTCGTCTAGAAGGATCTTATGTATTATGTCTAATTGGTAAGACATATATATGTGTATATTTTATTCCTTTACGTTCCCAGTGGAACATACAGGGGCTTCAAGCCAGAGCTTTGAAGTTTCAGTAGTAGTGGTGTTTATTTTTACGGGACGGGGTTGCTGCTGCCAATCTCATTACCGGCTTGGCGAGGTAAAGGAGTTCGTCAGTGGCCGGGGATCGAACCCCGAACCACTTGTGGCGTGGTTAGCGAGCATTCTACCGCTGTGCCACCGACGCATACCATATATTTTAGACTGGTTTAATTATTTTATAGTGGATTTATGTATATACGTGTGCATTTGATTTTAGTAATAAATTTGAAAAGAAGTTAGAAAAAAATAACTACATTCACAGTGAGAAAAAACAAACAAATTTGTTTAATTTCATGAGATTTTATTAGTGACTAAGTGGATTAGAATTAAAATTGTTATAAAGGAAGTAAAATCACATATTTTAAATATTGCAGCACTGATTAGAGTGTTTTGTGAGTTATAAAATTCAGAAAAAAAATAGAAATCATGAATTATCGATCGAAATCATTCATTACTATAAAAGAGAAGGTTCAAAAGTTGTAAAGCGATGCGAAAATGTATTGGTAAATCCAAATTTAAGTCTGGGAGGTAAGGCGGTCGGAGGTTTTGAATATCCTATACATAGTAAATATATATAAATTTTTTAGCGTACTTGAGAATAATTTACTCAGTTCTTTCTTATGAGTACGAGAAACAGCCAATAAAAACTAAAGGCATTAGAAGATTGAACATCTTTGGTCTTAATTGATTTTATAGCTTTATTCACCTGTGGTTGAGAGAGAGAGGGAATTTCTTTTAGTCCTTTGCATTCCGAGTAGAACATGGCCTCAAGCTTCATCTAAGTTTTAAAGTTTCAGTAGCAGTGGTTTTATTCTTTTGTTTCTATGGGGTGTGGTTGCTAGCCCCATGCTCAGCCTGGCGTCTCTACCGGGCTTACTATCAGTTAAGCGACGTTTGCGAGTGCATCAGTCAAGGATCAAACTTTGGCAAGCGTGCATGGTTGGCGAGCATTCTACCGCTGAACCACCGACGACGAGAGAGAGGGAGAATTGTGTTAGATAAATATGTCGAAGAGGTTGTGATTTTTTATTGCCTAACCGACTGACTGGTTTCAACAGAGAACTTTGCACAGTTCGAGTGGCCACATTCACTCCATGCAACACACAAGAGCAAGCAGGAGAAGAGGGTAAAAAGGAGATCCAAAAGAGAGAAAGATAATAAACAGAAATGTGAGTGAGGGAAAAAGAATACTAATATGGAAGAACAATACAGTTTTTTGGAATGCGACAAATCACAAGGAGTAAATGCATCTGTGCCATAACCTTTGAACGAGGATTATCACCAACTGTCTCCAGCCTTCATTGGTTCTCGCCATTCCAAGGACCCCAACCAGTCAGTCAAGCAATCTACACCTTCCCACGTGACTGGCTGACTGAAACTAACTGTTGTGGATTTGATTGACTGATGAAGCCATGTTTTCGTTTGACCACCACTAGCTTTCTCTTTTCCAACCTGATATATCCTGTGTCAGTCAGCTAATATTGCCTGTTGTCGAGTAAGACGGTGGCTAGGCAAGCATGCGTAACACATGGCCTAACCACCTTAATTAGTGGTGGTTTCCCCTCCCTACTTAGCAGTCGACCGATGCCTCAGCTCAATATTGCTCACCCTATTACACCTACCACCTAACACGAGAGAAAGAACGCAGACACCTATGATCCAGCCTTTTCGTATCTTCCACTTTCAATGGCCATTTCTCACAGCCAGCCATAAACGAGGATGGAGCAGACTGTGCTAAGCAGTACACACCGTGGTAGCGTGGCATGTATTGAGCATTCCTGTATTTACCTTAAGTACCCCTGTTTTATAAAGTATAGTTCATGTAATAAAATATAGTGAAGGGTGATTAGACTGTAACATGTATTGAGTTCATGAAGTCTTTGTTGATATAGGTCATATATTTATTTATTGTTTATTTAAAACACAAAATTGGTACATTATGGGTACCAAAAGATTTTTTTGTCTCATAGTTTGTGCGAGGGCTGGGATACTGCCCGGACGCCCAGACCCAAATAGGTGGTTGTCTTGGCTTTGAATTGTGATATATAAGTCAGGGGGGCACAGAGTTAGAAGCCGCGTTCCCATGGTTGCCGGTCACCAAAACAGGTTCATACTCCATTCGACTTGTTCGGATTCTCGAATTCTTGTGCATCAGAGGTTTGGAATCAAGGTTTTCCAACTCCTTTACGTGGACTAGCATGGTTAACAGTGTGGCTGTAAACACCAGACGTTCGGATTCGCAGTTTAACTTTTGTGAGTAACACCCTTGCCACCGCGTGAAGGCGGTGAATAGAACTTATTTAGTAGAGAAGGGCTATGACCACGTGGCAACGTGACAGCATTTCGAGAAGAACACCGAAGTCTACCCATCCTCTGCTGTACCAGGTCTTCCGTGGGACGGATGGAAGTTGTCAGGAAATGAAGAATTGGGAGGGTGGAGGAGTGACTTAAGTTTTTTATTATTTTTTCCCGACAATTTAAACATTTGTGCCAATCAGTTGATTATCATATCTTCTCTCACGTTTACTTTTGTCGGCTATGGTATTGTATTATTTCTGTTATGTCCAATTGCATTATGATATTGAAATATGGTCATCGTAAATATAAGGTATTGATTATGTTGTTGAGAACGTTTTACCACCGTCACTTTAGTGTAGCGAATTAGTCTAAGCACGTCCAGCATAGTAGAGAACTTAAGGTTATCTGTATGTGATCTCCTTTGTTTAGAAAATATACGCGTAAAGATGCTTCCTTGATTCGTAAACTTTTTCCGAATGTCATTGGAAAACTGAGTTACTGTTTTATTTCTACGAATACTCTCCCTCTCTCTTTCTTTCATATGGTTCGCCAATGGTGATTCAAGGTAAATATGTCACACCCAACTCTAATTCATTTTTTGCCAAAAGAGGTCATCGGTCATCTAGCCATTTATCATTTTGCTTAATTTCAAAGGGTGGTTCGCTGATATGGGTGGTAGAAACTGTTAACACACACACACACATACACACATTGTCTTTCACTTTTCCAGGTTAACTAGAAGTAAATCATTTACATTCATCGTAGGACAATTTGTCTAATAATATATCTTTCTGCAGAGGTGTGCTTATCGGCATTTCTTCTTTAAAAGCGTAATGTGGATATTTTTTTTTCAAAATTGTATTTGTTTAATTTCTTTCTTCTGAATTAACAGATTATCTCTTAAAATAATAACAATCAGTTTGATAGAAAACTCGGGTCGCTGTAATTACGTTATCCCTACGAAAATTTACCAACCGAACTATGATGCCTATTACAGACTGAAAGTTTCTCCACCTGGTGGTTTTGTGTGGTCTTTCACCGTCATTCCCCGTTTTCTTCACACTAGCAGTCCAATCAAAATCAAGCGGAATTAGAAAAAGAAGCCGCTGCAGTTCATATTCCAGGCTGGCACACATTTCACACTTGTCAAGCCACAATCTTCCTCCAAGGGCAATGTTAACTGTCATAGAATTAGTTGGGAGAGTAGTTTACGGGTGGTTGAACCATAACATAATATCATTCCATGGAGTCTTTGACCATTTGTCTCAGCTAACCAAACACAGAGAGGTGTGTGGTTACCTACCTTACTTCAGTATTCCAGACTCTAAGAACCAATACTTAGTGGTATAACTAAGTGGTTTTCAGTGACGCCGATGCATTTGCTCTTTGTAATCGGCCATATCCATCAAGTCCTTATGTTTCTACATGCTATTATCCTTTCACCTGTACATTTCTGCTCATTATAGTTCGTTTAAATTTCTTTTTGCTCTCTCTTTCCTACCTTTGTGTGCTACATATGGTGTGGTGACTTGAACTCTTGTGCACTTCAGTGCAAAGTTCTATGTTGAAATACAGTCAGTTTAGAGATAATGTTAGTTTGATAGATTGGTGTTAATTCAAAAAGGTTGGTAAATGAAATTGAAATAAAGCGAAAATTACTACTTTGAATTCAGTGGCAGTTCAGATTTTCGCTTTAATTTCAATCACCATCTTCGTACAGTAACCTCTGACTCTCAGCTGAAGTCTACTTCAGTTGTGGTGAGAGCTGTCTGCAAGCCAAAATTTGGGTAGACAGCAATTTACGTCAGTATTTACGTCCCAAATCTTGATCATGAAAAAAAGAGAAGAACAAAGACCAACCTTGAGGAACTCAACAACCAGTCACGGCTGACTTAGCGTGGGTGGGTACGATTCGCAGATATATGGTCTGACCTTGAAAGAAATGGCCACAAAGAGATGATAGAATAACTTCCAGCGAGAAAACAACCAATCAAAATATGCTGTTTCTCTGCTAATAACAACGAATAATAATGACGAGTCCCAAATAGAATGAAATGCCTGGCCCTTGTCTTCTTTCGTTACTCAGTTACTTTGATGAATAAAAAGAGTAGCAATGTTAACTTCTAGTATCAAAGATTTATGACTAAGTGGTGAATTTCTTTATTTTGAAGTCCTTTTCCTTATAAAAATAATGGAATTTATGGATGTATTAGTATATTAATATGCTGTCATAAGAGTTATCTTTCTGATATTAGTTCTATTCGTTTTCTTATTTTTTTTCTCTCTCTCTAGCAAATCTAATTCAGTTGAGTCTGTTAGAAACTGATATTTTGGCATCTCATTGTACAGAATTTTGCGTAAGTTAGTGATGGTCGATGAATTGTTTTGTTCCGCTTCAAAAATAGTAGTGGCGTGTATATATACTCCTAGCCAGCCCCACATTTCTGATCCTCTTCTTGATTTTGTGTCCAGTAGGCTACGGCACCACTCTGTTGAGATTCAGATGAAGTTTAACTGATTTTCAGTGTGTCTCTTAGGTGAAATCCATGTCGCCTTGCGTATATCTTTGTGATTATACATGCTACTTCCGAATTCAAGATCACTGAATGTACGGAGGCCTTGAAAGAGTCCACTGTCCCCGTTCATTTCGCCAAGAGCCTCTCAATCCATGATAAGTTCTCTCCCTGTTGACTGCTATTCCTATTATCCGTTAAGATTTTGATGTCCTGATTTGGTGTCTTGTCCGTTACTGTTTGCAGTTGGCTGTGGAAGTTTTCCTTCTTCTTCATGGGTCTGCTTTGTTTGTAGGAGTTTAACATTGGATAATTGTAAATTTCCTTCCTTTTAAGTTAAATCTTGCCGTCATGATCCTGGAGGAGACTGCTATCCATTGTATAAGAGCCTTCGTTGACGCATCTGGTAAAGAATTTCCAACAGGCTATTGTCTGTTGTCAACAGTTGTCTTCCCTTTATACCGAAGATCAGATGGTCAGATAGGATTGACAACAAACCAGCCATGAACCTCTTGTCCAGTGATATACAGAAGGAAATGGAGATGGATTAGGCATGTGCTGAGGAGACTGTTGACAGATATCATTTTCCAGGCAGTCGAGTGGAACCTAGAGTTAGTCTGAGCGTCTTATGGTAGAGATCGTGTGAGGAGGGAATGAAAGCTTACAACCACTCACGGAGTCAGTTAGAAAGGACTACAGGGAAAAGAGTGAACTGGAGATGTGTTGCTAAAGCCGTATGTTGAACTCGGAACCCAAGGGCATGCACCATCGAAAACGATTTCATGTGATGCCACCAACAACAGTCATTAGCCATTGATTCTCAGTGTCTCAATGACTCCAGCTAGTGATCTCTTATGCACATTTTGGAGATTGAGTATTTACTCATGTAATCGGATGGCTCACGTCATTATTCGATTTGTTAACAGCTATGATTGCGAAAGATTTTGATAAGGCTTACTTTAGGTACGCCAGTATCTTATAGCTAATCAAGTTTTCAAAAGAAACCAAGTTCAGTAATAAAACTTCACTATTTTTTTTCAATTTTATTTACATAGATTGTGCTATCTAAATTCATGCATTATTTGGGAACTTATGTTGGCAGTAAAAAGTCAAATCTTTGTAGCTGGCATCCAATTCTTGGTTGGTTTGCCCAATCACTAGATAATTCGTAAGTTCTTGCATCTTTTAAGTCATTGAATTATCTTCCATTTGTTCATTATTGTATCAAGTGATAAACTAGGCAAGTAAACGTCAGCGACATTGTAGAGAAATACTTGTATCTCAGACTGCTGATATTGCGATTGAGTTATTCTTAGATAAATGAATTCATTGTGGATATTTAAATAAATCACTAACTAATTTTAGTTGGAAAGATTATTTCGGAAAATCCTCTTATGCCAGAAAGATTAGTACGGTAGTGACAAGACTAAAAGTCACTCCATTAAGTGGGGGCGGTGACGTATGAGGGTAACAGATTGAATGGAAATGAAAGTTTCAGATGATAAATGATTGTTTTCTACAAAATTGCTCAAATAATTTAATAATTTCCATTAAGAACACAATGTACAGCGAAGAGACGCTTCTCAACGCATGGTTTTTTTGGAAATGAAATCCGGTGAGAAAATTTAGACAAAGGTAGGGATAGGTTACAGGACTTCATCATGAGATGACATCGGTTAGAGAACCATTGGAAAACCTGGGAGTACTGAACAGCTGTTTCATCGTAGTTTGGATCTCTTCAGTATTGCGCACCCACCAGGGTTCTAACTCAGGATCTTCAGGTTACAAGGGGGGCTTGTAGACCGTTCAGCCGCTGAGACCCGATCCAATGGCCAGTTGATGAATTCCAAAATCTTACAAATTCCAAGCTGGAATAATGTGAACGGTCTACGAGCTCCCCTTGTAACCGGAAGGCCCTGGCTTCGAACCCTGGAGGTGACTACGTACTGATGAAGAGTCCCAGACTAGATTGAAACATCCGTCCAGTAGTACTCTCAGTTGGTTTTCCAATGGTTCTCTAATCAATGTCATCTCATAATAAAATCCTGTAAGGCACTTATATTACCGGAGATTGTCCACCGTGTTATGGTGCGCTCTCTCTAACTGCATGCTCGTGAAACATAGTTATTCAAGTTAATCGGATCTATAAAAACACTAAGTATTTCACGAATGTTACTTATCTTTATCATTGTGTCTTTGATTTGGTGAAATTATTGCGTGAGTAATTTGATAGTTAGACATATAGTTTTATGTAAGGGGGATGGGTAGTGCGTAAGTCAATCTAAGAAGTTATAAATCTCTATCGTCTTCTTAATGTTTAGATTGCGTGTTTCACATGCCTGCACCAATCTCCCCCAATGTGACTTTACCAGAAATAAGTAGAACTAAGTTGCAAAAAAGAAACTAAGGATGCGCTAAATCAAGACATCACATCAACCAACTTATGCCATCATTGACTTCTAAGTTTGAGTGATGTAGGGAAATATAAGTTCTGCTTGGGTATAGATTGCTTGCATGTGATTGCCTAAATGACTTCCTCGATAGAGTTACGAAGGGAAAAAAAATGAAATCCAGTACCGGTTATAAGAAATCTATTGATTGGTACTTTTGAGTGACATATATTATTCACCTTATTAAAGCAGTGTGATTGATGGTTAGTGTTTCTTCTTTCTTTTTTTTTCAATTTTCTTATATTAATTTGTTGTATTCAGTTTACAAGCAGCTATGTCATTTGTAACAAGTCAATTGAGATTACTATGGAATGGTCGAATGGTTCGTTTGCTATTCGCCGACTTATATGCACAAGCTGAATTAAGTCTACCTGAAGGCAGTGCAGGATCAGATGGAAATCCATCTACTACAGGTCATCCACCGAGTCCAAGTAGCTCAAGTTCTGCTGTTCCTGGCCCTGGACCTGGTCCTGGCGCACCGTCTAAAGCAGAGAAACTTGCTGTAGCTGGTCTACTGCCTCCTCAATCACGAATGATGATGACTAGTGGTGGTGGTGGTGGTGGCGGTAGATCGAGCACTTCTGATGTTGATGGTTATGCCAATCGTGTTCGTCATGGTCTATCGAATTTCCTGCGTCAAATAACCAACTCATCAACTTATCGTAATCGATTTAAAAATAGTAAAAAGGAGAGAATGAATAATTATGTACCGAATCTTTCTACCACACGTTCAGATTGTCCTGGACCAAGTGATCTACCGAAATCACTGAAAGCTGTTTGTATGCTGTATTGTTTTACTTCAGGAAGTTTAAAAGAAATAAGGAGTGCTATTCTAGCTGGTAAGTTAATCTAATTCCTTTTTTTCTATTTTGAAAAGTTTTTTGTTTGATTGTCACTGGATAGTGTGTGCTGCATTGGTCTCACATTCCCATTGTCAGCTACAATCAACCAAGGGACGTGTGTACTGCTCAGCAGTTCGCTCCGTCCTTCTCTATGGCTCTGAAACATGGCCAATACGAGTTGAAGACATGAAAAGGTTGACTGTTTTTGATCATAGATGTCTATGATCTCTTTCCAACGTTAGGTGGTATAATAAGGTAAGTTATGTTGACGTAAGGCGTAGAGTGTTGAGCAAAGAGGGAAGATCAATCGAAGAGGCTATAAAGTTACATAGATTGAGATGGCTAGGTCACCTGGTGCGCATGCTTAACCATCGCCTCCCCCGACGGGCATTACTAGCTGATATAGGTGCAGGTTGGAAAAGAGTAAGTGGTGGCCAAACAAAAACATGGCCTCATCAATCCATGAAATCCCTGACAGTTAAACTGAGTCAGGTAGGGAGGGAGATGCAGACTTCCGGGTTGGAGCCCTCGGGACTCTAAGAACCAATGGCTGGAGACAATAGGTGACATGGCTCAAAATCGTTGTCAATGGCTTACGCAGATGTATTCAGTCTCTGTAATCTTTCATATTCCTTTCTACCATTACTCATTCTGTTTCACTCTTATACTTGTCAAGACTCTATTGATTCTCTTCACTCATTTTCTTGTCTACCTTTGTGTGCTATTTGGAACGTGGCAACTCGAACTGTTGCACTTCGGTGCCAAGTTCTATGTTGAATCCATACAGGGACAGACATTGTCAGCTACACAGAGTCTTAGATTTGAAATCCACCTTATATTTACTTCAGCGTAGGCGACTGCACACTCCAGTAAATTATCTGCTGTCATATGTGTTCGTTCATGTACAGAAAAGTTTTAAGATATTTGCAAATTTTTTCATGATGTCAGTTGACAGGAGGTTCCAAACTTAGTAGTGAACAATGCTCGGAAAATTACACTTAAATACTTTTTACACAGGGAGTTCAAGCTTCAACAAAGTAAATGTATGCATGCAACGGTGAAGGCGTTACGTGATAAAGACGAGAGGTGCGTAAGATGATTAATTTAATTAATAAATTGGGTAACAATGTACTGAATTCAACTGAAATCAAAGCAACAAAAGACAAGCAAAATTACACTATATCAAAGGGTGGGGGTGAGGTTAAAGCCAAAGATTACGTAATCAAATGAGTAAAGAGGGAATAAAGGGATCCAGTCACCAGGGCAAGAAAAGATAATTTTTTTTTCAAGTATTGGTTCTGTAGGGATTTTGTTTGATTGGTTGGAGGATTTCATCATGAGCTGACATCTATTAGAGAACCATTGGAAAACCAGCTGGGTGTACTGGGCATCTGTTTCGTCCTAGTTTGTTAGTCTTCATAAGTACACACCCACCACCAGGGTTCGAAACCAAGATCTTCTGTTTACAAGGCCAGCTCGTAGATCATTAAGCTACTGGGGCCCTATCCAATGGCCCATGAGTTTTAACTTCTGCCAATTTTCACTAACGCGAATACTTCGATGAGTAACTGTCCTCACCTTCAACCTGCTGTACCCTAGTGGTCACAGCTTCCCAGGTTTTCCAATGGTTCTCTAACGGATCTCAGCTCATGATGAATTCCTCCAACCAATTTTCTGTTGTATATAAATCTGACTTGACTGTCACTACAAATACCAAATAAGAACTGCCATTAACAATCCTGTAATATTAAATTTATAATTGTTTTTATTGCTATTCGATTAAAATTAGGTGCAATATTATAACAAATGCTGAAAATTCCACACTGTAACATTAATACTGCTATTTTGGAATAAAGCACATTGTTTATATTTTTTTATTTCTTTACGTTCCCGCTGGAACATAGGGCTTCAAGCTAGAGGCTTTAAGTTTCGGTAGCAGTGGTATTTATTTTTATGGGATGGGGCTGCTGCTGGCTTCATGCCAAACCTTCCCTCTTTACCAGTCTTATTACTGGCTCAGCGAGGCAAAGGGGTGTGGTGGCGGCTGGGGACCAAACCCTGAACCACATGCGTGGTTGGCGAGCATTCTACAGCTGTGCCACCGACGCACTCATATTATATATGTATAATTCTGTTTCATTTGATTTCATTTGATCTCAATAATTACCACAGGTTTATCACTGGGCGATTTATTGCCTCGTATGTGGCGTTTAATTTCTTGTTGTGGATCTGTACGTGATTGGGCCAATGTGATTATGAATTCACAGTCAGTATACTACTTGGAACCGCATGAATCACATTTAATGCAAATATTTGCTGCAGCTACAAGTAATTTATTAAGGTGAGATACTTTATGTGTATTTTTAAAAAAAATTCTCTGATTATTTCATTTAATATACTTACTGACCACTGAAACAGTATTGCATCTTTGCGGTCATTATTATTATTATTATCACTTGTGAAATATATAGGCCATTGCAGATTTGATAAGTGGGATGACCTTCACTAGATATAGGTGTCGATTCGTCTTTAACCGCAAAACTCTATTATATTTATTATTCTATTGGGTTCCAAGTAGAATATATGACTTCAACAGCTAATCTCCATTTAAAATAAAGAAAGAACGAATATAATTACAGGCAGAATTATACGAGCTCGTTTTATTTCGTGGTCTCTCTCCCTCTTCAACTGCATATATCCCAAGTAAATTAATTATATATATGCATGAATAACTAAATAAGTGTAGAGGTCAACCTAAATTTCAATAAATTTCAATGTGTGAAATAGATGATCGGAAAATAAAGTACATTCGGAAATGTGAATATATGAATATAATATGATGGAAACATAGGATGAGTGAAATGTTGTCAAAGTAGTAGACTACATAAAATGTTAGAATATAACATAAAGTGAAATGAAATAAAACAAAAGTGGAACACGGAGTAAAGAAGGATAACAAAGTTTTTCTTATGTCTGTCTGTATTCGACATAGAACTTTTCACCGATGTGCGACAGTTCAAGTCGCCACACCAAGTAGCACACAAAGCAAGAGAAGAAAGTAGAAGAAATGCATAATATAGACAGTAAACAGAGGTGTGAGACAAAGGTATAGTAATAACGAAGAACAAAACAGTTTCATTGGAAATCATAAGTCACAAGGAGTGGATGCATCTGCGCTGTCATTGAGAACGATTTTGAGCCATGTCACTAATTGTTTCCAACCATTGGTTTTTACCGTCCCGAGAACCCCAACCAGGAAGTCTACATCTTCCTACGTAGCTTAGACTAATTGTTGTGGATTTCATGGACTGGTGCCATGTTTTCGTTTGACCGCCGATAGCTCTTTTCCAGCCTGACCCTATGCCATGTAACATTACCCGTCGAGGAAGGCGATGACTAGGCATGAGTAACCCATGTCCTAACCATCTCAGTCGATGTAATTTCACAGCCTCGTCGATTGATTTCCCCTCCTTACCCAGCACTCGACCGAAGCCTAACCTCAATATTGCTCATCTTATTCTACCACTTCACACGGGAGATAGAACGCAGACACCTATGATCAAACACAGCTAATCTTTTCATGTCTTCTGCTCTCAATGACCAGGTCTCACAGCCATTAAGGAGGACGGAGCGGACTGCTGAGCAGTACACACGCCCTTTGGTCGATAGTTGGATATCAGGCCTACGCCAGAGATGGCGTAAACTGGCGAATGCGAACCTAGCCCTCTGTATTCGTGCTGAGATTTCGCCAGAGATCAACCCGTTGGGGCTGATGATACTTCCCAAATAAGTAGAGTGGTCAACGTGCTCTACCACTTCACTCCCTATTTCTAAACTAGGAGTAAGTGTAGTCCAGTCCTGTAACATCATTTTACACTTGGCGGGAGGGAATCGCATGCCAAACATTCGTAGATTGCAGCTCAAGGTGTTCAGAAGACTCTGAATTTTGTCAGCGTCCTCGCCTAGAAGGACTATATCGTCTGCATATTCTAAGTTAACAAGATTATTCCCTGGTAGCAAGTCAATCCCCGAGTCTCCGAAGTGAGTTAGGGTTAAGTTCATTAGTACATCTATAATGAAATTGAATAGGAATGGGGATAATGGACATCCCTGACGGACACCGCTAGTCGTCACCACTTCAGATGACAACTCGCCATAGGCTCTCACCTGGCTGCGTGAGTTCGAGTAGAGTGATCGCCTTAATCAGTGCAAGGTATTTTCTCGGCATTCCCTCTACAGCCAAGCTTCGCCAAAGTAGCTCTCAGTCGACAAAATCGAATGCCGCCTTCAGGTCAAGAAATATAATGATTGTTGGACACCGGTAACAATGCCTATGTTCTAGAATCTGTCTTATCTGAATCACATAGTAAAATGAAGACCATGGTAACGAAAGAGATCGTACAAACTGGCTTTGTACACAAAATCCTGGCTTCATGTTATGTATTACGAAAGCCTCTGCTATACAAAGCAACTGCAGTTGTGCTCTCCCTTTCGGCAAACTTTGTCGGACATTGTAGACTATATTGAACGATGTGTCAGATGCTGCGTGGTCAGTATCTATAATATGTTGCAATATCGATGAATGAATGCCTCTGCGTTCGCCTTTGCTTAGCCCAACTTGGAGGTGCTCTCGAACGTCCTATGTACCTAGCTTCGCAAGAGCAGGTGAACATATAAATACACACAGAATTAGACAATCGAGGTAACATTCCCTCGACATTAAGGTGCATCAGTGGCACCAAAGGACGTTGTCATCAATGATCTTGTCAGACGATTTTTAAGTGCCACACTCGCAGTGTCACGTCTAAATTCTAAGTTTAGGTGCAATACGTTTTTAGCTACCCTATCAATCAATGTACTTCTTTCACTTAATATGCTATTGGCCTCTAAGAAGTGTAGCGGATGCTCTATACACCATTATTATTGTACTGTAGTATTTCCACTCACTGTCAAACTTCAACAGAGGTTTCGCGTGCTCTTCGGGTTGTGAGGGCGATTGTTACTTCCCGGCTGCCCACACCGTGGAAGTTGGTTGCGTGACCGCAGAGCCCAGGGGACAACTGCTTGAGGCCGGTCACACACGGCCTGCTTTTGTTTGTTGTTTTTTATTTGGTGTGTCTCAGTAGCATATTTATCAACTTCTGCCCTGTGACACGGCAGCAAAAAGCGCGGTCGTTGTTAATCCGGGCCCCCGACCGATCCGGCATGATATTTTGTGATTTGTATGAAGTCATAGGATTGGATTGGGTAACTGCTTTTAGTCTAACCGCTATCCAAACAACCTTCCTGGCATGGTGGGACCTGCAGAAACATGAGTTCCAGCCAGTATAGCTTGTTGGGTCATTGCGGTGTTCAAGCCCGACCACCACGTCAAGGTGGCAGCTTTCGGTTGATTGATTCCCTTCTCTCATTTTCCTGTCTACCTTTGTGTGCTGTTTGGAACGTGGCAACTCGAACTGCTGCACTTCGGTGCCAAGTTCTATGTTGAATCCAGCAGCAGCAGCAGCAGCAGCAAACTTCAACACGCACACAAGAAAACTGGTTGTTATTGTCTATCGTACAGCTATGAAAATGAAATCGTCAAAAAGAGGATTCTTTTCGCTGAATTCGTTGTTTTCATTATGTCTCAGTGGGCTATTATTAATTTAAATTAATTACAGAATTTTCTGAATAAAACAGTGTGTGTGTGCTTTTGTGTTTTGTTCTGTTGCATAATATTCCACTTAATCTTGATTTTGATTTTCACTCACTGACTGAGTTGAACTCACTACTATACTAGGGTTCCAAACCTACTACTAAATTAAATTATTTGACCTATATTTTATAATTTTACTTCACTATTCACCCACCGCCCTTCTTAAATCCCCACCGTAATATGTATAAATATGCTCTGTTGTTCTATCTTGTATTTTATCTCTGGTCCATCCTTGTTTCCAAGAGAAATCTAAACTCCACCCGCTTGTCTAATTACTATATGAATAGTTACTCTTTTAATACTTAATAATTATCTACTTACATCATCTTTGAAATAATCATGTCGCTTATCCTTTCCATCTATAACTTGAAATTATTGTAGAAAGTATGTTGAGGAAAATTTTGTAACATATAATTGATATTGTTTAGGATGTACGCAACTGAAAAGAGAGAATCCACGAAATAAAACGAACTGGTATTATTCTGCCTGTTAATATGTTCGTTCTTTAATTGGTGGATGGTGACTAGCAGTGGAATCCAGGACAACACACATTTCGTCCTATTTGGGACTCGTCATCTGGATGTACCTGCATTTCTCAGTGAGTGATGATGTTCCCACCGAGGCTCCGAACCCAGTGTCCATAGTTTCAATCACCAAAGCGTTATCCACCAGACCACTTGGGCCACGAGGGTCACCTCTTGTGCAACAGGTCGAAGCATCTGCACAAGAAGCCGACATGTCAACCTGAGACAGAGCACTTCGGTGCAATCAGTCGATGGGGAAATCTAAAATTCAATTAAAAGTTCGTTCTTTCTTTATTCAAACTAATAAACGGAACTGGCTGTATGAAAAATCTCCATTTCACCCTATTCTCTGCAGTCGCTTTTCTCTGGCTCCACGATTGTGCGTAAGCCTTCATTTCCTCCTCACACGATCTCCTGTATATCACCTTCGTCGTTCTCCGTTCGAGTTCGACTCGGGAGCCGGTCACTTGATGCCACTCAAGAGTGTCCTTAGCATATGCATGTAATCTATTTCCATTTCCTTCCGGATGTTTGTTAGCCAATGGGTTCTTGGTCGGTTCATTGCTGGAGTTCCTCTGCGCTAATCCTTTCTCGCCGACTGCGTGAGTTTCCGTATGAAGGGAGGCAGCTGTTGATATATATACATATATATATCATATTGCTTAATTTATGGTTAAAACGACTAAATAAATAAAATTAGGCATAAGTGTTCAGGTAACAGTTTGTTGTTCTGTAATCGATGGCAAGTTTGTTCAAGTACGTGAACCAAAGAGGTAAGTTTTATTAACTGATCACTGACTGCTGTAAGATGTCTTCTTTATCCATTCAAATATACAGGATAATTAATGAACTTGAAGCGAACACATTCTGTTTGATTATCAACTGGTAGAAAATCATTGAAAACCAGAAAGTACTGGACGGCTGTTTCGTTCTAGTTTGAGACTCTTCAACAAGGCTCGACCATTACCCTCCTGGGAGATCGAATCCAAGACCTACAGGTTATGAAACGAGGTTGTTGTTGTTGACCATTCAGTCATTAGGACCGAATTCAGCACCCTGTGAATTCTAACTTCTGTCAATTAATAACGATGTATACCGAGACTATTAGCCAGTATCATTGGTGAGTACTTGTCGTCACATCTGACTTAGTGGACCCTGACTGTAGACAACTTCCTTCTGTAGTGAACTATCAGATTGATCTTCACGTTTTTCTTTGTAGGGATTTAATTAGTTCCAAGTTCGATCATGGACGGATAACAGTGGTGCTAAAAATCGCAAATTGGCAGATGTTAGAATTCATAGAGGGGGGGGATCCCATTGGCTGAATGGTCAGTCAGCTTGACCCTGTAACCTGAACTTCCTCGGTTCGATCCCCGATGCAGTAATGGATGCGTACTGCTTCAGAGTCCCAAACTAGGACAAAACAAACACCTCTTCGGTACTAATTCGGGATTTGTAATGTTTCTTCCTAACTAATACTGATTCTTGATCCCACTTGAAAACAATAAAATCCCTACAAACTAACGCTTGAAACCATTTAGTCTAGCCTATTTGTGTAACGTAATAGCATGCCTTTTATCTTCAGCTGAACTGAGACACTAAAGTTTGATCGGACACTAGTTAGTAACTAGTGTGATTAGTCTAGTCCTTTCTTTGGTGCAGACTGAATTCTAGCAGTCAGGTTTGCTATGCCAGTTCGAATCTCAGTAGGAGGGACATGAGTTCCTTCAAGGTTGCAGTGCCAACCTAGATCCAAGGCTTCCTGTCGATTGCCTCCAACCATCTAATATCACACTGAAGTGTGGTTATCTGCTTGTATATAATTAATCTCCCTTCAATAGAAAGGTCTTATATGAATGAATATTCATTTGACTGTTGACTAAATATTTCAATGAACCTTGGTGAGTGCGTACTGATAAAGACTCCCAAATTAGGACGAAGCGGCTGTCCAGTACTCCCAGCTGGTTTCCCAGTGGTTCTCTAACTGATGTCAGCTCATGATGAAATCCTCCATCCAATCAGGTAATGCTCATCACTGCTTATATATCAGTCTCTGTCTGGCTACACAGTCCTACTGTTTAGTGTTAGTAGTAGTAGGAGTAGGAGTAGTTTCCAATTCCTTATAGCATCTAGATGAGTTTACTTCTTTTCTTTGCCTTCATTTCTCTCTTCGCCTTCTTCATGCAGTAATTCTGTGAATTTTATTGATATCATAGTGTTTTGTTTTTTTATTTTTCTCTGTTAGATAATGAAGTTTCCAAAAATAGAGTTACAATTTAGAATATTTAAGCTACATTATTATTATTATTATCATATGTGTACGTCATCTCCACTGTAGCCTAATTCCTCTTGCCGTTTAAATATGCTATGTTAGGAATGATTGCTTTTCTCTGGAGGGTGTGTGTGGATGGGGGTGGGAAACAACACAACAATCAGTTGAATAAAAAAATATGTTTAACAATCCAACTCTCAATCGATAGCTTTAAGCTTATTGTATAACAGTGAATAGCAATCTGATGGATGGTGATAAAAGTGTAATTATCCAAGGATATCTAAAGACACACTACAAGAGAGAGAGTTTAAGTGGCTTAAAAGTAGCAATATGGCAGTAATTAGATGCATAGTCTTTGAAATATTATATACACTGAGATTAGACATGACTACTAGATAAACTCTTCAGTTAGCAGTAATTAAGTCTATTTAACATAAGCTTAATTCCACTCCTGTTAGATTTTTCTTTAACTTTTTCTTGCAATTTACCCATTTCATCGTTATCAATCTGTTAATCCGAAGCTATCTCGTATAATCTCATATCTCGAAGTCGTGCAATCAGTGAAGAGCCTACAGGGAGCTGTTATCTGAAGTGATGACAACCAGTAGTGTGTCCATTAAGAATCTCCACTATCCCCATTTCTGTTTAATTCCATCATAGATATACTAGAGGACTTAACCCTAACTCTAACTTCAGCGACTGAGGGATTAACTTATTACCAGGGAATAATACTCTCGTTGACTTCAAAGATGCGGACAGTATAGTCCTCCCTCCTAGGTGAAAACGCTGATAAAATTCAGAGTCTTCTGAATACCTTAAGGAGCGATCTTCCAATCTTTGATATTCCATTCCCTCACGTCCAAGGCAAGATGATATGATGCTACAGGACAAGAGTATACTGACTCATTCCTAGCTTAAAGATGGGCAAGAGTGAAGTGGTGACTGAGCATATTGACCACTATACTTATTTGGAAAGTTGCATCAACCAAACCCAGTGGGTTGATCGATTACAAAATCTCAGCAAGGATACAGAAGGCTCGTTTGGCATTTGGCAACTCACGCTATCTATGGCTTAGTAGACGTGATGCCCCGCTGGATATCGATCAAAGTAAGTGTGTACTGCTCAGCAACTCACTCCCACCTCTTCCTGTATGGCTGGCTGGGAGACATGGTGATTGAAAGTGGAAGACATGGAAAGGCTGGCTAGCTGTCTTTGATCATAGGTACCTGCGTTCTGTCTCCCATGTTAGGTGTAATAGGGTGACCAATATTAGAGTAAGGCATTGGCAGAGTGCTAGGTAAGGAGGAGAAATTGATTGAAGAGGTTGTGAAGTGGCTGCATCGACTAATAGGCTTAAGGAATGTATAACGCATGTCTGCCTAACCATCGCCTTCCTCGACAACAGGCAATGTTAGCTGACTGACATAGGATAAATCAGGTTGGAAAAAAGAAGGCTAGTGGTGATCAAACCAAAACACGGTGGCATCACTCGATCAAATCCATAACAGTTAGTTTCAGCCGGCCAACCACCCAGCTAGTCACGTAGGGAGGTGTGAACTGCTTGACTGACTGACTGGTTGGCGTACTCGAGATGGTAAGAACCAAAGAAGGTTGGATGGAGACAATTGGTGATATGGCTCAGAATCCTCGTTCTCGGTGATGACGCAGATGTATTCACTCTTTGTGGTTTATCGTATCCAATAAAACTCCATTGTTTTTCCATATTACTATAATTTTCCCACCACCCACACTTCTGTTTATTATCTCTCTCTCTGTCTCTTTGAATCTCTCTTTACTCTCTTCTCTTGCTTTGTGTGGTGCATAGAGGGAGAGCGGCACCTCGCACTGTTGCAGATCTGTACAAAGTTCTCTGTTGAAACCAGTCAGTCAATCATAATCTCATGTACCAACCAACAGCCTACTTCTCTCCTAATTTTATGTGATGAGAATTGAAAGCAGAATACCTATAGCAGCTGGAACTAATGTTCCCTCAGGTCCTACCATGCCAGATAGGTCAATTTGATAGCAATTAGACTGAACAGAGTTACCATCAAAGTGCAAATTGTTTGCACCATGATCGGGGTCTGTGGACAAAATTGTACTGCCGGCGAAGAGAGGTGTTACAGCAGCATGCTGTTTCCTTCAGATAGCAACCAGCATTCCGGATATGCCGCTTCTCCTCTCTCCGGAGATCGGGGTACGGAGGGATTATAAAAGTTCGATCCCATAAATCGTGTATATCCTGAATTACCTTGTGGTGCGGTCCATAGCCGGCGGTAAGATCTTACTACATGCATAACTCCAAAGAACCACTTCCGTTAAAGCTGTGCGTAACCGGCCTCAGTTAATCTTGCTATGTACTCTGCGATCACAGCACACTAATGCCGTTTCAGTTTCAGGTATTCCGTGAAACAGTCAAATATCACCTGTGTTTAATTACAGTGAAATCGGGTCTCATAGCACTCAACTGCTAGAGTCTGTCAAGCTATAGTAATCTGAAGAGAAATTTTCTTAATCCTGTCACGATTCCGTTTTTTGCTTTACTTACTTTACTTATCACCTATCACCTCACTATTAGTCTGTCAATCCGAGGATATCTCAGGTAAATCTTACCAACAGTTGAATTATTTTATTTGCTTCTAGGATTTATAATTTGTTCGATAGATCTTCTAATGTACTTTTTTTTTTATTAATTTCCTGTATGTTTCAGCATTCTAGATGATGCAGAATTATTTGAATTGAAGAAATCATTTACTGTTGATGAATTGTGTTCAATGGGTTCATTTTTCAATCACTTGATTTATGAATCAGTTATTATGGTACCTGACCGTAAGTTTCCTGTATTTGCCTTGTTCTAAAATCTTAGCTGCTTGCATACTATTTATTACCTGATCAAGCTGATGTCTACATAACTGCATTGATAACTATAACGTGTATATGATTCAGATTTGTAAGTATCGAAGTGTTGCCTAGATAGCTAAAGGTGATAAGAATTGCCAGTTTTGGTATCAACTCATATGCCTTTGAACCACTGTGGGAACTTGATTTCTTCAAGGTTATAAGTGATGAGTTGTAACAAGCATAAGAACTACTTCTTACAGGGTTTCCTGTTGATTAACTCTTGAAACTTAACAGTTTGGTAAAAAGTGTGTTTGATATGTCCACGTGATTCATTCAATCAATCTGATCAGTTATTGACCTCTGAGGATATTTCAGTGGTGTAATATTTATTCATTAGAACACAAACTTGGTACATTATGAGTGCCAAGATATGAGACATACTTAATCTCATAGTCTGTTCGAAACCTTGAATTGAATACTGCTTGGATGCTTAGTCCCAATCAGGTAGTTGTCTTAGGGGTCCATCCATGGAGCCTTTGACTTGAAGTGTGATCCATAAGGTGGTGCAGCAGTATGAGGAGCTACAATCTCATAGTTTCCGATAACCACAGCCAATTCATACACTAATCGATCTTTTCAGGTTGTGGAGGCCATGTACACTGTAGAGTTTTTCAGCTCCTCTAGGTAAACTTGCATGTCAATCAGTCCTTCCGGAAGCTCCAGACGTTCGGGTTCGCAGTTCGACTTCTGTGAACAAAATCTCTGATATCTTGTGAAGTCAATGTGAACAGGACTTACCTAGCAGAGACTATAAATGTGTGGATATATGAGAGCATTTGGAGAGAAAAACTGAGGTTTACCCACTCTCGACCGTACCAGGTCGTTTACGGGAGGATATTTTATTGTTGTGTAAATAGAATGAATCATGAATCAGACTGTGCGCTGGGAACGAGAAAAAAATGCGCTGAACCGAAAAGAAAACTGAAGAAGCTCTGGAGTTCGCAAATGATTTATTTTTAACGTCACACAAACTCGAAGAATTGCAGGTGAAATCCAACAAACTGGTAGAAGAGGTGGGTAGCAAAGACAGGACTCCAGGTCGATATAGAGAAGATGGAGGCGATGAGGATTACCAACCAGTACCAACAACAACCAGCACCAATCACCGTCAACGGGAGAAATTCAAAAGAGGCTACTTCCTTCACCTATCTAGGAAGCACGGGCAGTTGGAATAGATGAAGATGTCAAAGCCGGTCAGGCAGAATCGGTAAGGCGAGATACGCCTTCATCAGTCTGGAACCAGTTTGGAAATTTTCTGCACTCAACCAGCATAAAGAACAAGATTCGGATTTTTAACACAAATGTAAAGTCAGTCAACTCTTCTATACGGGTCAGAAACTTGGAGCCCGCGTCACGAAAAGCACTTCCAACAGGCTGTTGCAGATTTTTATCAACAGCTGCCTCTGCTGGCTCCATATTGAAGATCAAATGGCCGGCCGGCCAGAAAGAATTAGTAACAAGTAACTCTGGCTGGCAACAAACCAACCAAGAGATGATTGGTTAACATATATGTAGGAAAAAACGGAGATGTATCGGGCATACGTTGAGGAGACCGTCGAATGACATCGCGCACAATGCAGGCCATCAATCGAGTAAAAATCCCAATGGTAAGCGACTAGTGGGTCGTCAGTACGAGGGTGCTATGGAGATCGTGGGCCGAGGAGGAGATGAGAGATTATGGGCAATCTTGGAGAGGCTAAGCTGAAGAGGACGGTAGAAAATAGAAGAGAGTGGAGATGTATTGTTGAACGACCAATGCTGATGCAAATTAACAGTGAATCGTGACAAAGTTTGTTAGGAGATGCAATCATATCACTCACTGAGAATTCGAATTCAAATTTCACTTCATATCAAAGTTTGCACTAAGGATGATGTCTTTAAGGGGACAATAAAAGCCCTGAAATTAAACCAACCACCTCAGAAAACACAACTATATCAAGATCATCCACCTGAGTTCCAAATTCTTTGTATTATTTCGAGATTGAGGTGCTTCACCGTTGTACGAATACTCATACGCCGACTACTGGTCAGTCCAACTAAAAATACGAATATTGAGGTCATTAATGAAGATAGTTGAATAAAGTATCCTCTTTATGCGTAACAATATTCATTGAGTGCATTGAATGGAATAAGAAATATAAATTAGCAGTTCAGTGGAAACATTCGATTTGATTTCACAGTCATAATAGTAATTATTTGTGTGAAAAGCACCGTATTGGTCAAAGCGGACACCCTCTTTGTCTTTGCATCCACGACTGACTGACTGGTTTCAACAGAGGACTTTGTACAGATGTGCGACAGTGAGAGGTGCCGCTCTCTCTCTATGCACCACACAAAGCAAGAGAAGAGAGTAAAGAGAGATTTCAAAGACAGAGAGAGAGAGATAATAAACAGAAGTGTAGGTGATGGGAAAAGAATAGTAATATGGAAGAACAATGGAGTTTTATTGGATAGGATAAATCACAAAGAGTTAAAGCATCTGCGCGACCACTGAGTACGAGGATTTTGAGCCGTATCACCAATTGTCTCCATCCAGCCTTCATTGTTTCTTATCATCACGAGGACACCAACTAGTCAGTGAAGCAGTCTACACCTCCAAACATGACTGACTGACTGACTGACTGTCCGAAACTAATTGTTGTGGATTTGATTGACTGATGAAGTCATGTTTCAGTTTGACCACAGCTAGTTTTCTCTTTTCCAACCTGATGTATCCTGTCAGTCAGCTAACATTTCCTGTTGTAAGACACGTCCTAACCATCTCAGTTGATGTAACTTCACAACCTGGTAGGTCGATTTCCCCTCCTCATGTAGCTTTCTACCGATGCTTACCCTATCACACCTCCACCTAACACGCGAGACGGAACGCAGACACCTATAATCAAAACCAACTAGCCAGCCTTTTCATGTCTTCCACTTTCAATGGCCGTGTCTCACAGCCAGCTATAAACGAGGACTAGGCGAAATGTTGCTGAGCAGTGCACACTTCTTTTGATCGACAGCCAGTGAGAAATCACGTCTACTAAGCCAGACATAGCGTAAGTTGACATATGCCAAACGAGCCTTGTGTATCCTTGCTGAGATTTCATCATCGATTAACCCGTTGGGGTTGGCTGATGCAACTTCCCGAATAAGTAATGTGATCAACACGCTCAGTTACTACTTTGCTGTTACCCATCTTTAAGTTAGGAATGAGTCAGTGTACTTTAGTCCTGTAGCATCATATCATCGTATATTGAACGTGAGCAAATCGTAAGCCAAACATTCGAAGATTGCTGCTGCTCAAGGTGTTTGGAAGACTGCGTATTTTGTCGGTCGGCGTTTCCACCTAGGATGGAGGACTATATCATCTGCATATTCTAAGTCAACCTAATCCACGAACGCATCCGCTATCACAAATTAGGCATCTAAAGACACGACACGTATTAATATAACAGGGAGACATCCACGGACACTAATTTGACTAGGAATATGTATAAATTCTTGACAAAGGGAAGACAAAACATTTGTCAAAGAATTTCTAGCAGCCACTTGGTATTCAGACGAGTCTGCAATTAACAGACACATTGACATAGATAAGATTTACCAAAAAATCAATAAAAAATGGCAGTCACATCGATAAAAGGTCATCCATCTTTCAGGTCAACAAAGAACACAATCAATACCACTTGAAGTAAAGCTATAGCAGGTAGGCAAAAATATCCAGAAACAATCAGAAAAGAGATGGCTGTTAAATTCGTGGGGAATTTTTGAAAAGCTCACTTCCACTTGAAGTATACGCTGAAGCGATGTTGTCTAGATGGGACAGTGAAAGCTGAGCAACAAACACTATCCAGCTCACAGAACACAAATACACGAATATTTATACATGGTTTTGTAAAAGAAAAGATATTAGGGATATCTCTTTAATTTGTGTGCTTGTAATCTTTACCTATCAGACTATATATATATATATATATATATATATATATGTGTCTATGTGATATTCGCCAAGTGAAATCAATATTTTGTCGTTAATTTTAAGAAAACAAAGTTTACTAAAAAATAATTCAGCTGGCACCGGATTTAATTATATATATATATATATATATATATATATATATATCAATAACTTGACAGTACATAGTACATGATTTTGTGTTCTCACATCGATCTTACATATTTGTGATGCAAAAGTATTAGCTGTGTGATGGGTGAATCTGTGTAATCACATCAATCACTTTGAGAACAGCTATGCTACTGTATGAAAGTTAATGGTGCACTGTCACTGACGCATCAAAAAGTTATTTAATTACATGTACAGATTCTGAATCTGCACACTTTCACTTACAGATCGAAGATAACTTGCTCATTTGAAGCGAAAGATAGAATTTCAGTATATTTGTGTAACTGATATGAAAGCAGCATGAAATAGCCGTTTTTTGAAAGAAAAAATTGAAGTATTGGTTTGCACAGGATGTGATTGATGTCAAGATTAATCATGAGCTGTGACTTCTGTGAGAGGATCACTGAAAACCCAGGGAGTACTGGACAAATATTTCGTCCTAGTTTGGATCTCTTCATCAGTATGCATCCATTACCATACAACTAGGAGCCGGATCAGAAACATTCAGGCTGTGGTGAGAGCTATCTGCTAGCCAAAATTGTTACTAACAATTTAAGTCAATGTTACGTCCCGAATCGGGGTCATGAGAAAAGACAAGAACAAACCCTGACCTTGAGGAACTCAACAACCAACCACAGCAGACTTAGCGTGGGCGGATACAATTCGCAGATATATCACCGAACTGTCTAAGAAACGGCAACAAAGAGATGACAGAATAATCTTCAGCAGAAAAACAACCAAACAGAAGACGTTGCATCTCTTCTAACAATAACGAATAATAATGTACATAAAATTCTATAAATATCTGTTGATTTTCTCAATGAACGATCTAACTCTTGTCTTCTGTCGTTACAAGGCTACCAGGCAAGCTCATCGACTATTATGTCATTGGATTCCATCTCAGTGTTAGTAAGAATTTGATTGATTGGACAAAAACTAGCGTCATACGTCTAGTCCTATGTTTCCTGAAGACTGAATTCTATCGGTCAAGTTTGTAATATGGCCTTCATACTAGGTGGCTCGTCGTCACGGTAAACTATGAGTTGTTTTTGTTAGGCGATTTAAGGCAATCAGTAGAGTCCCAAAGTAGGACGAAACAGCTCTGCGCTTCTCCCTGGTTTACAGAGGTTTTGTAAATGGAGTCAATTTGTGATCACGCTTGTAATCAGCCATTCAAATGCCTGCCATGTAACACTTGACAACACGTCATGTTGATTGCTGATATATTAATAAATTTGTGCAGTAACTGTCAATGTCCAGGTCTAGCTACACTGGACTTAACGCTATCCTTAGAAGACCTTCAGCAACAATGTGCAATAGCCAACGCGAAAAACAGAACACAGATTGGTGACTCGAGAATCCTTTATTCTTGCATCAATATGGAGCCAATCATAAGGTTATTATACACAAAGTCTAAAAATAAATGTCATAGCAACTAATCACAATAATACTTCTGATAGTATTTCTTCGTCTTCTAACGAACAGCGTACGATGGAACGATGACTGCAGTATCGGTGAATCCCGCCAAAGTATGGAGTTGGTTTTGAGTAAACAACCATGAATTGATCGTTCATTCTTCAGCTATATTAACAGTAACCTTTACTGTTGCGAGTTTTTTAAAATATTTTTTATTCCTTTACGTTTCCAGTGGAACATAGGGCTTCAGGCTAGAGGCTTGAAGTTTCAGTATTAGTGGTGTTTATTTTCACGGGATGGGGTTGCTAGTCTCATGCCCAACGTTCCCTCCTTACTAGTCTTATTACCTAGTGGCTTAACGAGGTAAAGGAGTGCATCGGTGGCCGAAGATTGAACTTCGAACCACATGTGGCGTGGTTGGTGATCATTCTACCACTGTGTCACTGACTCATAATAATAATTTATCCAATATGTTCAATTTGTATCGCGTTTATTTCCTTTTCCCTCTCTTTTATTATTTTTATCAAGCTAACCAACTGAAATTATGGAGTGCATCATCAAAAACAACAGATAATAATCATAATAATAAATTGAATAAACCGAATCTATCTAGTAGTAGTGGTATGCCGGCTAATAATAACAATAATAAGGCAGCAGCAGCAGCTCAATCAACTATGGATTGTTGTACATCAACTATGCCTAATTTATTTACAATCTGTTTACGATTATTATCTGTGATTTATGAACGTGACAGTCGACATCCATTTACACCGGAGAATTTTTGGTTAATCTCGTAAGTGGATTGTATTTACTGTGCCTTTCTTATACTTTCTTTTTTAATACTATTACTGTTTATTGTTATTATTGTTCCTCTGGGTTCTGAGTGGAACATACGACTTCAGCAACACATCTCCACTGTACTCTATTTTCTGCTATCCTTTTTCAGCCAGACCCACGATTGACCATAATCTCTCATCTCCATGTCAACCTCACACCGACGACCCAACTGTCGTTTGCCATTCGGGTTCCACACTAGCGATGGCCTGCATTGCGTGCGATGTCATTCGACGGTCTCATCGGTGTGTACCAAATCCATTTCCACTTTCTCCTACATATTTTTTGAACGATAGGTTTTTGGTTAGTTTGTTCCCATAGTTTCCTGGTGCTTATTCTTCCTGGTCTGCCATTTGATCTTCAAAATAGAGTGAAGGCAGCTATTGATAAAAGTCTGCAACAAGATGTTTGAAATGCTTTACGTGAGTCCCGCACCAAGTTTCTGATTCATATAGAAGAACTGACTGACTTCATATTTGTATTGACAATCCGAATCTTATTCTTCGTGCTGAGTTCAGAAGACTTGCAAATCGATTTCGGAGTGATGAAAGTGTATCTTGCCTTTCCGATTCTGACTATGAAATCTTCATCCGAGCTGTCGCCTGTGTTTGAAACTGCTTCCTAGATAAGTGAAGGACGTGACCTCTTTCTCCCGTAGATATTGGTGGGTGCTGTTTGTTGTCGTTGCTGTTGGTTGGTTATCTTCATTTCCTCCGTCTTCTCTATGTTCATTTCAAGTCCTGTCTTGGATGCTTCTTCAGCCATTTTGTTTGTTTTCGCCTGCCGCTAAGTTTGTGTGACTTTAAACATAAATCATCTGCGAAATCCAGGTCTTCTAGAGTCTTTTACATCGGTCTAACGTGTTCTCCCACGCGTAGTCTTCTGCGTAATCCAGCCCAACACAATTAAGAATATCATCGGTGGTAAAAGGCAGCCAGCTTGTCTTATTACTGTGTTTACTTCGAACGCCTTGCTGAGTTTTCCGTTGTGGATCACCTGACACATGGCATTGTTGTATAGCTACTGAATGATTTTGATAAAGATTTGGGTATTGCACGCCATAAGGTTGAAGTAGTTTCCAAATCACTTCACGGTCAACGTTACTAATAATATATTATTATCCCCTTGGATTTGGAGTGGAATATACAGCTTCAACAATACATCCTGATTTCATCCTACAATCTGCAGTCCTTTTATGCAGATTACGATTACCTGTAAGCTTTTATTTCAACCTTACATGATTTCCTCTATGTCACCCTCGAACCCACGCCCAACTCATCGTTTCCTATTCGGTTTCCACTAGAGAATCTGCTTGATGTGTGTGTGTGTTATTGCTCAACGGTTTCCTAAACGTGTGTCTAAACCAATTCACTTGTCTTCTGAATATTTTTGGTGGACGATAGGTTCTTGGTTAATTCGTTGCATTACTATAGTTCCTTGTCACTATTCGTTTCTGGCCGGCAATTTGGTCTTCAGTATGTAGTGGAAACAGTGAAGGCAGCTGTTGATCAAAGTCTTCAATAGCCTGTCGAAAATGATTTTTGTGACGCGTTCTCTGAACCGTATAGAAATACTTAATTGACATTGTTGATATTGAATGCAGTGACTCACTGACTAATTTCAACATAGGGCTTTTCACAAATATACACCAGTTCCAGTTGCCACTCTTCATCCATACACCACACAAATCAAGAGAAGAGAGTAAAGCGAGATTCAAGAAAGAGGGATAATAAACAGAAGTATAAGTGAGGAAAAGAAGAACAATAGAGTTTCATTGGATACGATAGATCACAAAGAGTGAATGCATCTGCGCCATCACTGAGAACGAGGACTCTGGACCATATCACCAATTGTCTCCATCCGCCTTCATTGGTTCTTACCATCCCGAGGACGCCAACCAGTCAAGCAGTCTACCTCTCTACGGAACTGAATGACTAACTGGCTGTCTGAAGCTAACTGTTGTGGATTTGACTGACTGATGAAGCCATGTTTTCGTTTGACCACCACTAGTTTTCTCTTTTTCAACGTGATCTATCCTATGCCATTCAGCTAACATTGTGTGTTGTCGAGGAGGGCAATGGGTAGGCAGGCATGTGTAACACATGTTCTAACCATCTCAATCGATGGAGCCACTATACAACCTCGTCGATTGATTTCCCCTTCTTATCTAGCACTCAACTGATGTCTCACTTCAATATTGCTCACCCTATTACACCTACCACCTAGCACGTGAGATAGAACTCAGACACCTATGATCAAAGTTAGTGTAGTAGATTTCTATACTGAATAAATTCTTCTCTCTGTATATGTATGGTTATCAGCTGAGTGAAATTTTGTTACTGTTGTATTTCTATAAAAGCTTTCAGCTTTAAAGTAAATTGGAATTAGATATTAAAATAGTGAATTTATTTGCTGCTCACAAATTCAGAATGTATCACTCTATAGTTTAAGTGGTTTAATATTGCATCAACATTCTATGAATCGTGTGCCGGAGGACAGACCCGTGCTGAGGAGATGTAGTTTCATTGTTTTCAAGTTAAATCACAAACTGACTTCAGTTAGAGAACCAGTGAAAACTACGGAGTACTGGCTGTCAGTTCTTTCCTAGTCTAGGAATCTTCAGCAGTACTCACCCAGAACCTTCAGATCACAAGGCTGAGCTCGTTGATTACATTCAGCTACTGAAATGGAATCCAATAGCCCCCTTCATGATATATAAAGTCCCCACCAGTCAATGTTATCAGCGAGTATTTGTCCTTACGCCCACCCACCCGGGCTGGTGTGAATGCCGCTAGAGCCCGAGAGAACTTCATCGTGTAATCAGTCACTAGTAAGTGGGCATTAGACTAATTTTCAAGTGTTGTTTTGCAGAAATTCGATTGGTTACAAATTCTTTGGCTTCAGCACTCTCTACTTTCAGGCAATAGGTGGTCATGCATCGTCTACACCACTCTAGACAACTTGCTATGATTTCAGGCTCTTACACACAATATATGTAACTCATAACCCCCCTGTTACGTGGAAAATATGTTTCGGGTAGGAGGTGAGTTTCTGACGTCTGAGACTGAATGAATCTGGCTCCTAGGTTGTACCCTAAAGATCCGAAGGCTTAAGCGTTATTTCGTCTACCACAGTTTAAGACAGAAGTTTGTAATACACCTTTTTACATTAGAGATTTCACTCATTGTCTATGAATCCATGTGTAGCTGACAGTTAGCCTGTACTAAACGCTTTCAGAATATATATATATATATATATATATATATATATATATATATATATATATTAGATGTTAGCTCTGAATCTAGGTTTTGTGATTGTTGACACTTGTTAGTGAGGTTTGTCTGCACTCTTGAAGGGACTCATGTGCCCTCTGAGATTCGAACTCGCCAGTGACCACCAGTAAAACTGTAGTGGAAACCAATGTCCTTGGTTTTGATGCAGACTGAATTCCTTTAGTCAAGTTTGCAACGTGGTGACCAAGCTAGGTGGCTAGCTATAGTGGCAAACTATCATCTGATATTAGGTCGTTGAAGAGGGCATGTGTTCCTGCAAGATTGCAGGTGCGCCTTACTGACGAGTTCTGACAAGCACGAAACTTAGATACAGAGCTTCCTGCAAATTGCCTTCAACCGCTTGACACAAATTTAGAGTACATCGTGATGGCGAGCTACCTAGCTTGGTGATCGCACTGCGAATTCCATTGTTGCAATTCAGTATGCACCAGACCAGAAACCAAATACCCTCACCTAGTTACCAATCTCAGCATATATATATATATATATATGTATATATATGTATATATATATATATATATTATATACCTTAATTATAAAAAGTATCTACTGTTTTTCTGCTTTATTTCTCAATTAATACAAATCAATCGTCCTGGCATACAAAAACAAACAAACCAACCAACAAACGTCAGTAATCTCAAAGTTTCAGCTTTTCTCTCCGATTTACGCAAACCGAAACCCCATGCAACATTTCTACTAAAGCATATTCCACATATTATACCACACAAAGAGGTAAGTGTTTATTTTTTTAACATCTTTCCTATCCAATCTGTCTAACAGCGTGTTATCCTTTTTCGAGATTTTGTACGTGAAGATAAAGCCTCTCTGGGAATACATACACGAACTAATTGGCTTACAGATGATGGCCCCGTTGGTGCTGTGATCACAGTGCATAGAAATCGTATTGTTGAAGTAAGTCGAACTACTGTGTTTTACGTTGCATGAATGTTATATTATTTTCAAGGGCTAGTCTATATAGATTTGCCTTGCTTTTCCGATCCTCGCTTTGATATTCTCTTCAGTTCCGCCTGTAGTTGAAACGATGCTTCCCAGGTCGGTAGGTAAAGGAGGTTGCCTCTCTAAGATTTCTCTCATTTATTCTGATTACTGTCTGCTGTTGTTGCTGTTGCTATTAGCCAGGAATCTTCATCACCTCTGTTTTCTGTATATTCACCTGAAGTCCTATCTTTGTTGCTTCTTCTATCTCCAACTCGTTGCTTTCACTTGCATATCTTCCAGTTTGTGGGAAATCAGACATATATCATCATGGGCGAAGTCCAGATCCTCCAAGTTTTTCGTTTAGGTTCATTTTATGCCTGTTTCCTCATTGCCCGCTGTTTGTCGCATTATCCAATCTACTGCAATCAGGAAAATCATTGGCGATAGTAGGCAGCCTTGTCTTACTCTTGTCTTCATTTTGAAGGACTCCGTGAGTTTCCCATTGTGGATTACTTGGTATGCAGCATTGTCGTACAACTGTTGAATGAGATATAAAATTGTTGGCGGCACCCCGTAGTAGCGAAGTAGTTTTCAAATCGCCTCTGGATCAACGCTGTCGAATGCCTTTTCAAAGTGAATGAAGTTGAGATAGAGAGCTAACTGCCATCCCAAGCTCCGTTCAGTGATAATACGCAGTGTTGCGATTTGATCGATGCATGATTTGTTTCTGCTGAATCCAATCTGTTCTGGTCGAAGTTTTTCATTCAGGGCGTGTTTTATTTTCTCCACGATGATGCGGCTTAGTATTTTACTTGGGATAGACGGGAGCGTAATACCGCGCCACTTCTTGTATTGACTTAAGTCCAGAGACTACCGGTGGGCAGCTGTTTCGTTCTAGTTTGGAACTCTTTGGCAGAACCGTTTGGTTACTAGGCAAGCTTGTAGATTATCATTCAGCTACTGGAATGGAATCAAATGGACCAGTCTATGAATTCTAACTTCTGCCAATTCGTGATATATGGCGCGACCGTCAGCCAATGTCCATCAGCAAGTATTTGTCTTCACTTCTGACATGTTGGACCTCACTGGTCACGACTTCTCACTAGAGCTCCAGGCAACTTTGTCCTTTTAATCAGTCACTAATGAGAGTCGGGGATCGAACTCAGGACCCTTCGGGTTACAAGGCGAGCTCGGTGACCATTCAGCTACCGGAATAGGATCCAATGGTCAGACCATAAATTGTAATTTCTGTCAATTCACGAATTTGTTTGTTTAAATGCAATTCCTTCTTGTATTTTATTTTACTTATGTTTAGGATGGATATCAACAGCTGGCCAATTTAACTTCACCACAACTACGTATGAAAATACGTGTACAGTTCGTCAATGAAATGGTACGTTATATATATATATATATATATTCTATTTATGTCTATTTATATAGCAACCACCTCCAAGAACCGCTATGAATGCATTCCAAATTGACTGGCCTTGAAGCAGCAGACAGTCACATAATTAGTACTAATAAACAGTTTATTAACAAATTCACCAGTTTTAACGAATTGCTTTTTACAGCGTAATCAGTAGTTTTTCAAAGTCATTTGGATGGTTCTTGTTGGTGGTCGCTATAATTTAACTTCGTCATATTTTTAAAGAAGAAAATAACTTGCTCGAGTATTTTGTATAAGCTTTATAGTGTGTGCATATTTCTTTCTGATAAATGTTTTCTGTTATAAAAATTCATTGTATTTTTTATAGTTGGTTTGTAAGGATTAGCTTTGTTTTTACGAGTTGATCACGGATTGATATCAGTCAGAGAGAACCATTGAAAACCAGCCACAGAGAGTACTGGACAGCTGTTTCATCTGCCTAGTTTGGGAATCATCAGCAGTAAGCACCCACTGCCAGGGCTTGAACCTAGGACCTTCCGATTACAAGGCAAGCTGGCTCGTATACCATTCAGCCACTGGGACCCGATTCAATGACCATTCCATGAATTATAACTTCTACCATTTCGTGATATTTTAGCGCGACCCCAACCAATTTTGTCGGTGGGACATCCTCATCCTCATTGACTGAATGGTATACGAGCTTGCCTTGTAACCGGATGGTCCTGGGTTCGAAACCTGGCAGTTGGTGCGTACTGCCGATGATTCCTAAACTAGGATGAAACAGCTGTCCGGTACTTCAATACTGGTTTTCAATGGTTCTCTAACTGATATCAATCCGTGATCAGTTCATTGTATTATCAAAAAGGTAATCGGTGTTAATGACTGAGTGAATTTCAACAGAGAACTCTGCACAGAAGTGCAGCAATTCAAGTTTTCACATTCCATACAGGGTAGAGAAAAAGAAAGAAATTCCAAGAAAAACTATAATAAGCAGAATTGTCCAGGGAAAAGAAAACAGTTACATGGTTGAAATATGTGGATATAGTTGATCTAGGAGACTGAAAAAAGTGAATACATCTGAGCCACCCACTGAAAACGTTTCTGGGCCACATCACCAACGGTCTCCTTATGTGGCTGCCTTAGACCAAGTGTGAAACACTTCATAGATTGATTGATGCCAGCTTTTGGTTTGATCACTTCCAATTCTTTTCCAGCCTAATCTTACGTCAGCTGATATCCCTCAATATAGAAGTTGATTGCTTGGAATGCTCGATACATGTCCTATCCATCTCAATCAATGCAACTTGATACCCTCATCGATTGACTTGCTCTCCTTACCTCACTATTACTCACTATATTATACCACTTTACACTAGAGGTTTTGATACAATTACCTGTGTTCGAAGACAACTGATCCCGGCCTCGAACTCGGCTTCACTCACTTGAGCCTGGGGGTACTAATAGGTAGTACTATCGGCCCCTTACATATTATGTGTAACTCAACCGCCGAGTATATGAGAAGTCTCTTCCAGATAGCTAGTTTCTAAACGGATATGAACCGAACTGTTGAGTCAGACCATTAAAATGTGGTGTAAGATTTTGAAACAACACCAATCAACTGTCAAACTTCCTGTGGTTAATGTAACTTTGGTCTTCAAGATCCTAACAACCAAATGACTCGACAGACTGTTGGTAATATTGTTTAAAATCGTTGTCAAATGCTGAAGATGTATTCGCTTCTTATTGACTCCTAGGTACATGGAATCCTCCAGTTGCTTCATATAATTAGTTATTCTTTCTCCCGTACATTTCTGTTTATTACAATTGTGTGATATATAAAGAGTCTGGTAATCTGAACTGGTACACGTCTGTGTAAAGTTCTATATTGCTGAGAACTTAGACAAGTGTCAGCTTTGGCAACTAGTTGGGTTGTGGTTAATTTATTGCACACTAGGCGTATATCTAAATTTAGTACATATTCTAATTAGGAAAGAGACTGCTTTCTATCTTGGAATTTTCTTACTTTTATGTTATATAACGTTGATAACAATTGAGTGACGTTCAGTTTTTTTTTCTGTAAAGTTCGTTCTAATTAGCATATTGTAAAGTAATTCTAGTTTTTACTCTGACAACATTGCAAAGATCTAGGCAATGATGGGTATTGTAGATGATATACATAGACCTTAATTTTTACATGTCATTTTTACATGTCTGTTTGTATTTCTCTCACATCACTTATTGATTTATGACCTAATTTTCTCTCACACTACCTATGACCTTTGAAATCCCATTGGTTTAATTTATCAATGATTTCAATGCCTCTCAAGGTCATTTTAAAAATATATATACGCAAGCACTGTCGATATTTTTGACTGTTGTTTGAGACAGTAGAAGCTGTCTTATCAACGTCCAGTTTTTTCTTTTGTCGTTGCATGCAGGTGGTGTTATTGTTGTTTTTGTTGTTGTTGACGTGCGATTAGGACAGATTAGCTGGCACATTATGTTAGTATTCGCTCAGTTTCTACTAGGTCGTAGTTCTGGTCAAAACAGTAGATTGGGTTATTTTCTACATGGCTGTTGTTTCGACGCCGTTTTCAAATTACATGCTTTCAAGTCCAGTTGTTTGTGAACCCAGTCATTTTAAAAACAAGCGTCTATGGTGGGCTTAACTACACTGGGCGGTCGATGTATATCTTTAAAGACGTGGAAGTGTACAACGCTGAATTATTTCATCATAGAATAAATGTATTTGGCAAAGTTAAACTCTAAGCACCACTAACAACCAGTCAGCGAATTACTTTCAACGAACGAATCACATGAAAGAGGCATTTTTGGTTACGAAAAACGTATATATTCAATCTTTGTCTATATAATGCCGTTATTTATTATTACTATTCTATGTATTATCCTTTTTGTTTTACAGGGTTTAGATGAAGTTGGCATTGATTTGGATGGTGTATTTAAAGAATTCTTAGAAGAAACACTTCGTCGTGTATTTGATCCAAGTTTAAATTTATTTCGTGTAACAAATGATCAACGCTTATATCCATCGCCTACATCACATCTACAAGAGAGTCATTTACAGCTATTTGAATTTTTAGGCAAAATGCTTGCTAAAGCTATCTATGAAGTAAGTGCTTCTTTTTTGAATAACATGTGTATGTGTGTGTATACCAGCAGAATGGGGGTAGCATTTGGTAACTGAATTAACTATTGGTAAATTGATAAACTGCTATGGCAAAATACAACAAACCTTACATTAAAATTATCATTTCCACTGCCGCCTCGACCCTCTTGGTGCTACCCGCTCTTGTTTTGTCTCAGTAGTGACCTTTTTTTATCCCACTGTATCCATCTCTGGAGTTGGCTGGCGTTAACACGTTTCCGTTTGTCTCCTCTGCTGATGGTATATCTCTCGGTGACAGTTTATGGTCCTTCCCACTTTGGAGAGATTGCCCGAGGACCTAGTAGGCCTCCAACAGCGCACTTTCTTGCTGTACACTTGACATGATCTCCAACTTAAAACGTTATGTATTTTTTCTTTCCTCTCTCCTCGAATTTCACAGAGTCAATCATCTGTTCATGCTTTACATTTGTGATTGCTTCTTTTCATTCTGTTCTCCATTTTTTCGTACTTCACTGTTGGTGATGCTATCAGGTCTTATTGTGAATTGGTAGTCATGGTTTCCCCATCGTACATCACCTGGAACGGCGACTTCTTTGTTATTTCTTCGGCAGAAACACTATGTATGTACTAGTAGAATTAATAGAAACTGTGTTTGGTTACAGGATTTCATCATGAGCTGACATCAGTTAGAGAACCATTGGAAAACCTGGGAGTACTGGACAGCTGTTTCGTCCTAGTTTGGGACTCTTCAGCAGTACGCACCCACCGGGATTCGAACCCAGATTCGAACCCAGGGTTCGAATCCCGGTGGGTGCGTACTGCTGAAGAGTCCCAAACTAGGACGAAACAGCTGTCCAGTACTCCCAGGTTTTCCAATGGTTCTCTAACTGATGTCAGCTCATGATGAAATCCTGTAACCAATCAAATCCCTACAAACCAACACTTGAGAAACTGTGTTTCCCAGCTACCTCCTTTCGAAGCCAGCCACTCATTCAGTATACGGATATTTCTTTCTATCAAACCATTAGTTTGTAGATGATATGGTGGTTATTCTAGTCTTCGTAATACATCTAGCTGCTGTAAGTGGGGTGTAAACTCTTCACTTTCAAAACAGGGACCCTGATTTTTCAATATCGTCTATGGTACAGCGATACGTCGAACCACTGAGTCAGTCACAGACTCAGCGCATTGATCCGGGATCGCGATGGAGTTCACCCATCTTTTAGCATGTTCCGTCCGTCATCACCAGGAGGTACTGTTTGCCACTGAATTTCTGTGTACATGGTCACATTATATTCGTGGTCCACATATAGTCAACCACCCTAACTAGAACTGACTGAAGAAGTTGGAGAACGCAGATCATTAATTACACAGCTTTATTTTAGTATTCATCAGTAGATGGTTGGCTTTGATATATACTTTTTCGTATTATAGGTGAGTAAAGTAGTGTAAACGTCCACTCTTAAAAGCGTATAATCAAACAGTCATGTGTCAGAACGTAGAATGAACATTGTAAAATTGTTAACATAAGCGATATATAGTGAATAACATAGCAGAAAATAAACCAGACCGATATCTGCTACCTTGACGTGGTGGTTGGGATTGCATATCTCAATGAACCGACGTGCCAAACTGGCTTTAACTAATCTTCCTTCAGGTCGTACCACACCAGAAGGGTCGTTTGGATTGCGATTAATTTAAAAGCAGTTACTGTCTCAAAGTGTAAGATGTTCACACTATATTGGAGGGTCTGTAAGAGAAATCATACCGCTAGCGAATAGGGTTGTGAGAGTAGTAAGGCGACCACCAGCTGTCAGTCATACTGACTCTCGGCTCTTGAAAGCGAGGTTAGTAAAGGTCGACCCCGAAGATTGTACATCCCGTAGCCGGCCGTAAGATCTTAATACGCATGTGATTCCAAAAACTGCTCCAAACGAATCGTAGTAGTGATGGTGTTGTTGTTTCTACGGGATGAAGTTGTCACCCTCACATCCAACGTTCCTTCTTTACGGGAGTCAATACCAGCTAAGTGGGATTTAGGAGTAATTCCGGCGGCCGGGTTTGACTGACTGACTGGCTGGTTTCAACATAGAACTTTGCACAGATGTGCAGCAGTTCCAGTTACCACACTCTCTCTCTCCATGTTGCACACAAAGCAAGAGAAGAGAGTAGAAAAAGATTCAACAGAGAGATAATAATCAGAAGCGTCATTGAGAACGATTTTGAGCTGTATCACTAATTGACTCCATCCAGCCTTCATTGGTTCTTACCATCCCGAGGATCCCAACCAGAAAGGCTGTCTACACCTTCCCATGTGGCCTTCCGGCGGCCAGAAATCGAACCCCTGCTTCTTGCTATGAGGTTGGCGAGCATTCTGCCATTGAACCAGCTCACGTTTACGTACATATTTCATTTATATTGCGTTCCCAATAGAACATGGGCTTCGAGCTAGAGGCTTGAAGTTTCGGTAGTATTGGTATTTATTTTTACAAGATGGGGTTGCTAGCCTCATGCCCAGTCTTCCCTCTTTACCAGTCTTATTACTGGTGTTAGCCAGGTAACGAAGTGCGTCTGCCGGGGATCGAACTCTGAACCACGTGTGGCGTGGTTGGCGAGCATTCTACCACTGTGCCACCGACGCACAAATTATTTGTTATGATTTTTGGAGATGTAACGTTTTTGGTTCACGTACCCAACTTTTAGTTAATGGAGCTTTTGGGATTCTAACCCCTCTTCCCCACCTACTTCAACCTGAACAACTAGGTAGTATCTGTACCCGTCACATTATATATATGGCTCATTGTCCAATGCAGGAAGAATTCGTGTTTTCTGGGGGCGATTGACTAAGCTCAAACTACTAACTAACTAACTAAACTGATTGTTATAATTTATCTACTCCTTTTTTTTCTCTTTCTTCCAGAGTATTGTTGTCGATGTACCATTTGCAAATTTCTTTCTTACTCAATTACTCGGTCGTGAAAAAGCTGGTTGCTACAGTTTTCTTGATGAATTAGCCACATTGGATAGAGAGTTATACAAAAGTCTTAGTTATATCAAGGTAAAGCTGCTAACATATAATAATCAAACTTGTACAAAATTCAATAGTTTTTTTATACGAATTTTGAAAAGAAACAAACCTTTTTCACAGGCGTGTAAACATGTGTACATCAGGAATAATTGATAGGAATCAAGATGTTAATGCTCAGTACAAAATTAGAGCAACCATTGGTTTAAATGACGAAAATATTGAGAAAAATAAATTACGAATAATTAGGTGAGCGGTTAGTGATATCGGCCTTTAATTGAGGTAATGGATTAATTGAGAATCTTAAGCTACAATATACTTATTGGTTGTCAATTTCACGTGGAATTTTCAAAAGTTTGCGTTACCACGAGGTACGTTGTGGTCTGATAGGCCTGCTGCTAAAACGAGACATAAAAGCGTCAGAGCTTGCAACCATTATCTGTTTATGAGGTATAAAGCATTTGGAAATTCAGACAATTCCTTCACTCATGGGTAAGTACATCATTATTGTGACGTTGACGGTTATATATGGGAACAGCTGTGAATTTGAATCTTTCTTTACTCCCTTCTCTTGCTTTGTATGCTAAATGGAGTGTGGCAACTGGAACTGCCGCACATCCGTGAAAAGTTCTACGCTGAAACCAGTCAGTGAGCTGTGAATTGATCAATAGATTTCATTTCGAACGTTTTCTCGATCTTTACTGGAGCTGAGGTGTAACGTGATAACGTCTTTGACTGCAGCACTGAGTGACGCGGGCTCGAATCTCGGAAGAGATATGAGTTTCTTCAAGATAGCAGATATAGTGAGTGCCAACTAGCACGCAACCAAGGTGGAAGGCTTCCTTCCAATTATCTCCAACCATCTAATAACAACAATTCACAGTGCATAATGATGACAAGCCACCTGGCATAGTGGCTGCATTTCACAGTTGACTGATAGAATTCAGTCTGCAGCAAACAAAGGGCTAGACACACTACACTAGTTACGAACTTGTGTCCAATCAAAGTATATATATATATATATATATATATATAATTCGTTTTTTAAAATGTTTCATTTAAATAATGTGACTTTGTACCCATGTGAAAATCCCTTTAGTTGTGTGATTTGAAAAACTTCTTCCACTCTGTTTATTAATCAAATAGTGTCATATGAAAAGTTAATATCATGTCACTTCTAAACTCATTTTATGTACTCTTAACTGACTGACTGGAACTGAGAACTTTGCATAGATATGCAGCAGTTCCAGTTATCGCTGTCCCTCCATGCACCACACAAACCAAGAGAAGAGAGTAAGGTGAGATTCAAAAAAAGAGAGAGGGCGAGGAAAAGAGAATATTAATGTGGACGAACAATAAAGTTCTATTGGATATGACAAGTCGAAAAGAGTGAATGCACCTGGGCCATCACTGAGAACGAGGATTTTGAGCCATATCACCAATTGTCTCCATCCAGCCTTCACTGGTTCTTACCATCCCAATGACGTCACCAAGTCAGTCAGTCAGCCAATCAAGCAGTCCACACCTTCCTACGTGACTGACTGACTGGCTAGCTGAGACTAACTGTTATGGATTTGATTGAGTGATGAAGTCATGTTTTGGTTTGTCCACCACTAGTTTTCTCTTTTCCAACTTGATTGATCCTATGTCAGTCAGCTAACATTGCGTGTTGTCGCGGAAGGCGATGGTTAGGCAGACATGCGTTATACATTTCTGAATCATCTTAGTCGATGCAGCTACACTGTAGGATTATTTTTATCCTACAGATTTAGTCCTCCCTCAATACTGACAACACAGAGTCTGGGCTTAGCAATAGTTAAAACAGAATAACTTGACTTTAACTCTATCTGTTTCTAAAACATAAAATAAACCATACAATTACACCAAGAAAAATGTACAAATCCATTGTCATTACAAAAATAGGACAAAAACGTACCGGACAGTATTGAAGGTACGGACAAAATGAACAGTCAGTTAATTACATGTATATACAAGTACAGTGACAGACAAAAAAGAACATTCAAGGTCATCACGTGGTGAGAGTTACAATAAATCGACCAATAATCGCGACAAGAAAGGTCACATAATATTGATTGGCTGTTTATCATACAGTCTATCTATCTATCGCGATTAACACTCCCCGCGAACGATCACCACGTTGACCTTTCGTACGCTTCTTATATCTTGTTCCACTTCTTGAGCTGAAGTTTTCAAACACAGTGTCCTGACGTGGCCATCTTGGTCATAGTACATCTGCTTAACTATAGCCTTTCGCCAGAGACCTCTCTGTGTGTCAGCACTGTTAACTAAGACGAGATCATCAGGTTGTAGGTTGTGCTTTATATCCAACCACTTAGATCTTGTTTGCAGCATCAGAAGATAACCACGTAGCCATTTATGCCAGAGCAAATCAGTCAAATATTTTGGAAGTAGTCGACTATAGTGTTGGGAGAAAGCATATTCATACATAGCATTCGCTTTACCTTTGTAATATTGTAATTTTCTTAAGAATTCACCAATTGCTGAACGAGCCGCAGTTAAAGGCCTTTTTGGAACTAAGGAAATACACAAATCAAATGCATCGTCCTCACCGACTACTTTATGTGTACGTCCCATAGAATCGTCAGCTTCAATCAAAACTTGCAGAATCGCATAACGAGCACAATAATGTGCTTGACACCATGATCCAATGTCATCTGCATTTTCTCCTGCAGAATAAATCTCCATGGAAGTTACAGCTGAAGGAGACATTGACAACCAATTAATATAGACTACATCTGAGACATTGCCTTGAGCACGGTTGGTATTCAGACCGAACTGCTCCAGAACAAGAGGTAAATCAGATAAATAAATTCCAACGCACTCAGCTCGACACTTATCTATTGCAGATGGAAGGTTTGGAAACTTGCTGTCATACGTTTCTCCTGGTTCACACCAACTTTTTACAGGACCTCCATTTATGACATATTCAGTAGTTTTCGTGTGTAAATTTCGTTTTCCATAACAATCACGCCAAAACAGTTTACCTGAACCATATCCCATCAGTTCATGAAGTCCAACTTGTAATTCAAAGGAACTTTCAGCATGTTCCACGTACATTTGTTTGTCTTCATTACGTAGAAATTCTGGTTTAGGATCCTCGAGACGAACACTAAGTACATTATCCAAAGAAACATTTTTAAATCCATCAACTTGTCGTACATCATCATAGTTAGGAATATTAGTTCCAACAGGAATTCCAGAAGTTTCAAACGTAACTACATCCAAACTAGTAAGGTCTGGCTGTAAGAAATTAACTTTTTCAAACGTAGAAGGCCATGGTAAACTTGTTAACAACCTTTCAGCATTATTTACAAGTCGTTGGCATTTTTTAGACACTGACCTATTTACAACAGCGACAAATGATTCAAACCTTGCACGAACACCAAAGGGATCACGGTACGACTCGATAAACCCAACATAGTTTTCAACAACAGGGTTCTTATCTTTAACACATAACCTGGAGGCATCTTTGTGAGTGGCTACTGAGCCAGTAGTGAAGCTTTCAGCATACTGATGCCACATTTCTGATTCGATTTGGTTAAGCGAATGTGCTTTGAAATCTATATAGCAATCGACTAGTAACTTCATCAGCTCACTATAGTCACCATATTCAAGCTGCAAAGATGTGTCCGAGGGAAGGGCATCTTTTAACTTCTCACGACGTTGACTTAAAGGGATTTGCAGGTCATGGTAACGTTGGGCTAACTGTCTTTGTTCTTCTTGGATAATAGGAGCGTCGAAATGACTTTCTGCAGCAAGCGTGTCAGCCTGGACTTTGAATGCATCTATACGTTCACGATGAGTAGCTACATCAGATTCAAGCAAGTTGTGCCGCTTTTGTGCGTTCATCACACCGTTTAGATCACGACCGACATCCTCTGAGGCTATCTGAGCTTCAACATCATTCAACCATAACTTGACATCTACGTTACGAGCGAACTGTTGTTGACTACTTGCTTGATCTAAATTTGTCTTCTTGTCTCTCATGGCATTTACGAGATGAGACCAAGTTTCATCCAACTGTTCAATCTTTACTTTTATTTCTGGCGAGTTGTAGTGGTTTGCATTTAACAAATCCTGACCTGTCTTTTTAATATCTTTGACGCGGGATTGGTTCGCTTGTATTTCTGCCTCGAAATTCTGGTGCTTCTGCATCTTTGTTTGCAAATTCGTGGAGTCTTTGTAACTTTCATCAAGTGCATATTTAAGTTTTCCTGATATCCATGACTGCATTTCATCTGCATCTCTATCGAACATTTGGTAACGGTAGGAATCTTGAAGATGCTGACGGCGGTTATGAGCTTTCTCTTTTAATGCATTTCGTCTGCTTTGAAGACCTTCCTGAATCTCATGAACCTGTGCAGCCGCATAGTGGTTTGACTCGATTAATTTTGCAGCGAATTCATTAAGTTGTCGCATCTTTTCTTCTTGTGCTAAAAGTGACTTTTCGAAGTCTTCATGTTTCCTTATAAGTGCTTCCACAGAATCGAGTGAGTCTCCCACATCTTTTATTTCTAAGAGGGCCTCTTGCTCACCAATCCAAGATTCCGACTGTTCAGCGTCGCGGTAAAAATACTGAAGGCTCATACACTGTTCTAGCTGTTCACGTCTTTCCTCACACAACCGCATCAGGGAGGCTCTCTCTCTTTCAAGGGTGGAAAGTTTATCAGCTATGTCTCCATTACAGGAATGGCCAACACTTAGTAATGCCTGACCTTCTTGCATGCATGTATCGAAACTGTCAGCTCGAGAATTTATCTCAGTGGTGTATTCCTTATGTCGCTCTACTTGGGCTTCAGCACCAGCTACATCCTTTGTCAAATCATCCGCCAACATTGACGTCTTCATTTCATCCATCCAGATACTCACGTCTCTCCAGTCAGCCAAAAAGCGATGCATCTTGAATGACTCTTCCAGTTTACCTCTCCTATCTACAGCCTGACTTTTCAGCTTATCCCATGCAGTAATTAATTCGTCATACTTGCCTTGTA